CTTGGGAAGTTTTTGAAAGATTCTGTAGTAATGGAAAATCGTGCAAATTTAAAAACTGAAATCTGTTAACTTCAGGAAGAACAAAAGGTAGAAAAATCAAGGCAATATAATCTTAGTACATACACCATTTGACTCAGCTGCAGTGAATAAGATTTATATAGTCATGTAAGGTAAACACTGATTACTTACTTTACCAATAATTATGGTATCACCATAATGAAAGCCCAGAGGAAGGGAAATAAAGGCATGGGGAAATACAAGAGTGCAAAATCTTTTATTTTTCCATAATGGAAAGTTGGTAATGTCTAAAATTAATAAGAAAATGGCAATCAAAGCCTAATGTTTAGAAATTCAGAGAAATATCAGACTAAATTTTAAAGTCTACTTTAAAATTGAGTTTTTGCTTTTAGTTGCATAAATAAATTCATTTTGATGGTTTTCTCAGGACAGATGAACTGGCTGGGTGTAGTGGTTTATGCCTGTAATCCTAGCAGTTTGAGAGGCCAAGGTGGATGGATCACTTGAAGTCAGGAGTTTGAGACCAGCCTGGCCAACACGGTGAAACTCTGTCTCTACTAAAAAAAATACAAAAAATTAGCCGGGCGCTGTGGTGCCCACTTGTAATCCCAGCTACTCCGAAGGCTGAGGCAGGAGAATTGCTTGAATCAGGAGGTGGAGGTCGCACAACTACCCTCCAGCCGGGCGACAGATCGAGACTCCCTCTCAAACAAACAGATGAACTATTTTCTCCTGAGGAATACTGATGATCCCACTGCTTGAGAAATGGAAACCAGCTTGCAACTAATAGTTATTTTTTGTCTTTTTTCCTGTTCTTTCCATTGAGGTTTCAAAAAATCCTAGGTTCAGAATTTCAGCTGGGCAGCTTCGACTGCACCACCTGTAGCCACTGAGGTTCATGGGCTGCGTTTGAGGTGTTGTTTTTTTTTTTTGAGACGGAGTTTCGCTGCTGTTACCCAGGCTGGAGTGCAATGGCGTGATCTCGGCTCACCGCAACCTCCGCCTCCTGGATTCAGGCAATTCTCCTGCCTCAGCCTCCCGAGTAGCTGGGATTACAGGCGTGTGCCACCATGCCCAGCTAATTTTTTTTTTGTATTTTTGGTAGAGTCAGGGTTTCACCATGTTGACCAGGATGGTCTCGATCTCTTGACCTCGTAATCCAGCCACCTCGGCCTCCTAAAGTGCTGGGATTACAGGCTTGAGCCACCGCGCCCTGCCTGAGGTGTTGCATTCTATTTTGCTGGGTTGGTTTTGCTGCTTATTGAGTGATGAAGAGCAATATATTAGCTACAGAGATATAAAAAATTTCCAACATATGCAAAAGCAATAGACTAGTTTAATGACCCCTTATATACCCACCCTCCAGCTTCAACAATTATGTTTCTGACAATTCTTGTTTCACCTACCCCACCTCTATTATACACACACACAAACAACATACACACACGGGAGCAAAGTCAACTTCCATTATTTTGAAGCACATCCAAGATATCACATCACATTATTTACCAATATCATCTACTAAGTTTCTTGGGTCATAGTCCATCTCACAGAAAGAAATCCCCCATGAGAAACTTCTTTTAGGACATAAGTTTTATATTAATTACTTAATATATGATGTAAAGGCATATATTTGCATTTATTTTCTTCATTAATTGCAGAAAAAAGGTTTTGAAAAAGGATTGTTTTTTATGGCATATGAATTTACAGAAATGGAAATCCAGAGAATGTATACCTATATAAAATATAAGCTCAATTTACAATAGCTAATCTTTTCACTGTCTTCCAGGAACTGAATTTAGTTCTTAAGTTTATGTCACTCCCCATGCCACTCTGAGTAAAAGCCAGAGTCCTTACAATGGCTTACCAGGCCCTATGTGATCTCCTCACTTTAACACCCTTACTTCTGGGTCCTCGTTGCTTGCAAACCATTTCCAACCCATTCTGTACTAGCCGTCATTGCCTTCCTTCCAATTTTCTAATCCACCAAGAATTCTCCCGCCTCAAGATATCTGCATCAGCTGTTTCTTTCTGCCTGGATTCCCAAATACCTACATGTCTCATTCTTTTTTTTTTTTTGAGACAGTCTCACTCTGTTGCCCAGGCTGGAATGCAGTGGTGTGATTTCAGCTCACTGTAACCTCTGCCTCCTGGGTTTAAGTGATTCTTCTGCCTCAGCCTCCCAAGTAGCTGGGATTACAGATGCCGGCCACCCCACCCCGCTAATTTTTGTATTTTTAGTACAGATGGGGTTTCATCATGTTGGCCAGGCTGGTCTTGAACTCCTGACCTCAGGTGGTCCACCTACCTTGGCCTCCCAAAATGCTGGGATTACAGGCATAAGCCACTGCACCCTAGCCATTTTTTTTTTTTTTTTTTTTAAGTTTCTCATGGAGATGAGGTCTTGCTATATTACCCAGGCTGGTCTCCTGGCTTCTGAACTCCTGGGCTCAAGTGATCCTCCCCTCTTGGCCTCCCAAAATGCTGGGATTACAGGCATAATCAGCCGAGATATCTGACTCTCTTGCTTCCTTCAAGTTTCTGTGCAAAGACTACTTTATCAGTGAGGCCTTCCTTGATCACCGTCTACAACATTACAAGTATCCCCTCTCCACACATCCTTCCTATGTCATCCTCAACCTGCTTTCTTTTCTTTTTTTTTTTTTAATTGAAAAGGGTCTCTTGCTCTGTTGCCCAGACTGGAGTGCACTGGCAAGATCATGGCTCACTGCAGCCTCGACCTCCCAGGTTCAAGCAATCCTCCCACCTCAGACTCCTTAGTAGCTGGGACTACAGCTGGGTGCCAACATGCCCAGCTAATTTTTGTATTTTTTGGTAGAGATGGGGTTTTGCCATGTTGGCCAGGTTCGTCTCCAACTTCTGAGCTCAAGTGATCTTCCTGCCTCAGCCTTCCAAATTGCTTGGGATTACGGTGTGAGCCATCGGGTCTGACCTCACCCTGTTTTATTTGTTTGCCCCCACTCATACCCTGACAGTAGCCATCACCACCTGTCTTAAATTTATTTCATTTTATTTAGTATCTACACCTTCCCAGTAGAATGAAAGCTTCATAAGATGAAGTACTGAATTTTTTTTCCTTTTGCTGTATACTGTTCCCAGAACAATGGTAAGCACATTAACAAGTTGCTTATCATCGATATGCCACATTTTCAAAAGCTTTGCAAACACTTAAATAGAAGTCACCATGTACCGGGCACTGTTTCAAGTACTTACAAATACTACCTCATTTAATCCTCATACAATCCCACCTAGTAAGCACTACTATTACCATTCTGCACTTTACTTTGAGAAACCAGTGCACAGAAAGGTTAAGTAACCCATCCAAGATCAAACAGCTAATAAGTGACAGACCCAAGCAGTCAGGCCTCGGAGGCTGCACATCTAACCACTGGGCTATGACGTCTTTTTTTTTTTGAGACGGAGTTTCGCTCTTGTTACCCAGGCTGGAGTGTAATGGCGCGATCTCGGCTCACCACAACCCCCGCCTCCTGGGTTCAGGCAATTCTCCTGCCTCAGCCTCCTGAGTAGCTGGGATTACAGGCACGTGCCACCATGCCCAGCTAATTTTCTTTGTATTTTTAGTAGAGATGGGGTCTCACCATGTTAACCAGGATGGTCTCGATCTCTTGACCTCATGATCCACCTGCCTCGGCCACTATGATGTCTTTCACATGAACGCAGGGAAAGCATTTAATAAACACTTCCAGAATGAGATGTAAATTTGATTTACATTCAGATATCCAGGGTGACTCCTGGATGTAAAAAAATAAAATAATTTCAGCTTTCAGAGAGAACTCCTATTGCCCGGTGCCATCAGATCCCAAATACTGGAGGCAGTATTCCCAGTGTTCTGTTCACAAACTATGCGATCTGTGGTAGCCCGCCTTGTGAATAAAATCAAAGTGAAAGATACCAGTATACTTATTGCTGTGCTAAAAGAACTGCAGACCAATCACATCCTTTTGAAACCAAAATATGTGTAAGTCTCCCTGGCTAGATGCTGTATGTCCATGTATCATGCACCAATTGCTTGAAAGTCACATGACAACTTTTCTTTCTTTAGGGAAGGAAGCAAGCAAGGCAGGACACTGTGTGTTACAGCCACAGTGTGGGCATTTGCATAGCTAGTGCCGCCAATATCATGCGTGCGTTGACACTATACGGCACTTCTCTATCAAGTTGCCCTGCTGTCCTCTAACGAGTTATTTTGAAAAAAAGGTTGTCCGTTTTTCAACTACTTGGGTGAGGGCAGCTTAATGAAAAAAGCTCATCGTATGTCAAAGAAGGTAGGGTTTCAATTGTGAGCTAGAAAGCCACCAGAGATTTCTCCTATAGAGGGCAAGTGTGTTTTCTGCTTGGACACCTGAATTTGCAACCCATCCTTTATTTTACTTTTTTGCAACCCACCCTTTCTATCTTTGTAGCCTCAGTTCCTACTATAGGGCCTGTCACGGAGCAGCTAATCGATACAGTGACGCGTGTGAATTATTTGAAGCCTCTTCCTGCACAGTGGAACGGCCACGCCAAGTCTCCCGGCTTCGCTGGGTGTAATCCCAATTAAAACATTCGGTTTCGGCCGGGTGTGGTGGCTCACGCCTGTAATCCTAACACTTTGGGAGGCCGAGGCGGGCGGATCACCTGAGGTCAGGAGTTCAAGATCAGCCTGGCCAAGATGGTGAAACCCCGTCTTTAAAAAGAAAAAGAAAAAAAAGAAAAAGATAAAGTAAATAAATTTTAAAAACACTCGGTTTCAACAACACAAGGAGGGTCCGCAGGGTCCCCGGGCTACCCACCAAGGGTCGGCTCTGCTTTGAAACGCAGCTGCAGGAGGCCGAGGAGCGCCGCGATGCCCGGGTTTTCCCGGCTAGTCCACCCGAGGCCGAAGCCGGCCGGCTGCGGGAACTCAACCTCGCGCAGGGCGCCGGCAGCTCTCAGTCCCGTCCGCGCTCGGTCCTCCGCGCTCCCAGCCTCCCTTGCGCCAAGGACACATCCGGCGGCGTCGCGGGTGCTGTCTACGCCACCGCGGCGCCTGTCTATGATCCTCTGCCACTTTCTGAGCGAGTGTCATGGCGGTCGGCGTCGAGTTGGCAGGCGTAGCCCACGAAACTGGGGAAACTCACTAGAGCTGAGGAAGAAGTGGCCCAGTCTGGACGGTGGGAATTCGTGGGAATGAGCAGAAGGCCTTCCATGGGTGACTGTGTCATAGAGGCAGGCCCCTGGTAAAATTCCAGGCCAGGCCTCGGCCTTCCTAGGCAGAACCCGGAGCCGGCGTTGCCTGACAACCCCGCTTTGTGTTATCCAAGCCTGAGTGTTTTGGACTAGTCTCGCCAAGGCAGGCGTCCAAGGATATTTGGTGGGATCGTTCGACGGCGCTAAACGTTTTTTAGTTTCCGAGCGGACCAGGTCGTTCTCTATAAACTCGCCGTGATGTCGTCCTGGCTTGGGGGCCTCGGCTCCGGATTAGGCCAGTCTCTAGGTCAAGTTGGGGGTAGCCTGGCTTCCCTCACTGGCCAGATTTCAAACTTTACAAAGGATATGCTGATGGAGGGCACGGAGGAAGTGGAAGGTAACAGCTGGACCGAGGGAGGGGAGGGCTTTTCTAAGACCATGGGAACGTGCGTTTGGTCTCTGCTTCCATCAGTCAGGAGACGCGGAGAGGTCGCGAAGGAATACTGCTCCTCCCTTTTTTCTTCACACACCTCCTCTTGCCTCTTCTCAACAGATTTTCTAAGACGAAAGACCGCTGAGGGCCAGGGGAAGAGTCCTGGTTCCCTTCCCTTTAAATACTCTGGACGTTCAAAGTACAGTAGAGTGAAACTGTTTCTACGTTAAGTCGAGTTTATTTTTGTTTGGTTTATCCACGCCCACCACTTACTTTGCCCTGAGTTTGGGGGCTGATCTTATTCTTATCTTCCTGTATTTTGACACGGTTTAAAGAATTGTATATGTGTTTTCTATTTTTGTAACAGTTGAAATAACTAATAATTTAAACATTTAGTGAGTTTTGCTCTTTCGTCTTGAGTATGTTCGAAACATGGGCATGTTTTTCTATTTTTATTTTTGTTTATTGTGATGATACATTGTAGCTTTCCAGCTGAGAATGTATTTTTGTGTAATCGCCCATTTCTCCCATATTTCGAAAGTAGAATAGGGAAGATAACCCTATTCTTAAGGTACCCTTAGCAATCTTAACTCATTTTTGAAGTCCTCAATCTTGTGTTACTAATAAATAGTGACCCAGAGTTACATGGTAATCAGTGGCTACATTAATTACCATTTTAATTTCTTGGCATTTCAGTCAGCACAGTTCGGATCAAAACAGTGTTTAAGTTTCAGTCTTAAGTCGGCTCCTGGGAGATAATGGGCTGTTTTTTGGGGTGAGAGCTGCTCCTTTGACAATTGTATTTCTTATAAATAAATGTAATAAGCATTCTGGCTTAGTTTTTTTGATTGCTAATGTAACAGATTCTTCATATTTATTTGGTTAAAATCGGGAAAGATAGTTTGATAGAAAGATAATGCTTATGTTTGGAGTTTCTGTACGGTCTGTTTAGATGGAAGGAAGAATAGACTGGGGAGCTACCGAAATCCATTTTACTGCTTGAGGTTCCCCATGCTATAAAAGTGCATTAGTGAGACAGGTTTGGGGAGGGAAATGAAACGGCTTCTTTATGTGTGGGGGAAAGCATGGGACCTTGAGGGCAGTCAGAAGCTCAGAAGGGTTAGATAACTATGGGAAATGACTAGTCTCTCCTTGTATCCTAGATAGGAGAAAATGGTTGGCTGTTCCTTTGACCCTAAGCCAGAGAATGTGCATTCCTCAACCTGAATGTCTTCCAGGTTGAAGGTGGAATTCATTTTGTTCTGCCCAATGTGCTCCTGTTTTCTCAATCTTAATGGCTTCCCTCTCAGCTCAGTTGCCTAAAGTGTAAATCTTCATATCTTTGTTTTGTGTCTTTTTTTATCACCTACTTCCAGTTGGTCACCAAATCTTGTTTATCCTATGCCAGAATTGTCCTTTCCTTTATTGCTCTTTATTCTTTAGATCCCTATAATCTTTCCCAGGGACTATTTCTCTTTCATGTCCTGTCATCCATTTCTCCCTACTCCAATCAATTTTCTATTGTATTGTCAGTTACTTTCTAAAAACAAACGTGCTTAAAATTTTTTTGACTTTGTTACGGGGTAAAATCCAAACCTCTTAGTTTTGGAAAGCCAAGACCCATTCTATCTGGGTTTTTTGTTTTATTTTGTTTTTTGAAACAGAGTCTCACTCCGTCACCCAAGCTGAAGTGCAGTGGTGCTGTCTGGGCTCACTGCAGTCTTCAGTTCCTGGGTTCAAGTGATTCTCCTGCCTCAGCCTCCCAAGTAGCTGGGATTACAGGCACGTGCCACCACCCCCCCTAATTTTTACATTTTTAGTAGAGATGGGGTTTCAGCATGTTGGCCAGGCTGGTCTCAAACTCCTGACCTCAGGTGATCCACCTGCCTTGGCCTCCCAAAGGGTTTAGATTACAGGCCTTCAATGTACCTTTTCTAGTTGCTATACCAATTGCTGTATGTATGCGCATACACATGCTTGCTCATACACAGAACCTCTGTCCTGGGATTTTGTCAGGTACTTACACAACTTCAAGCCTTTACATGGAAAGCCCTTTCTTCTCTCTTTCCTCCTTCACCCAGAAAAAATTTTGTGTATATCCCTGCTCACATGTCAGATAATTAAGTACTTGGTGAACCATTCTGACTCCCATAGAAGTTGAGTTAAGCTGAATGTTGGTGACCTGTGTTCTCACAGAATTTTGTGGATCACTCCCTGACCGCACTTAACATGTTGAGTTATAATTTATCTGTTTTCTTGATGCCCAGGTTGGGGACTGAATTTTTTTCCTCCTTATATTACCAATATATGGCATCTTCCTTTTGGCACATAGTAGATGCTCAATAAAAATGGCACAAGTAGGTGATTAGAAATCTGCAAAGTTGCTTAATGCTTTTATTTTCCCTTTATATTCCAGTTGGACTTGCTTAACACCTAATTTATTGATTTTGTAAATTTTTTAAAATGGGGGTCTGACCATGTGCAGTGGTTCACACCTGTAATCTCAGCACTTTGGGAGGCCAAAGTGGGAGGATAGCTTAAAGCTAGGAGTTGGGGACCAGCCTGGGCAACATAGGGAGATCTCATTTCTACAAAAAGTTTTTAGCTGGGCATAGTGGCATGTGCCTGTAGTCTCACCTACTTCGGAAGCTGAGATGGGAGGTTTGCTTAAGCCCAGGAATTCAAGGCTTCAGTGAGCTGTGATTGCACCACTGAACTCCAGCCTGGGTGACAGAGACGACCCTGTCTCAAAAAAAGTAAAAGGAAAGGAGGGTCAGTTCTTTTATTCAGTGAACAAGTATTAGTGTTTTGCCTATGTCAGCAATGAAAAATAAAGCAGTTCCAAAATAGCGCTATAGGGACAACTTGAAAGCCATCCATATTTACAATATCAGAAGGTTGCAGTTTTACCTAACACTACTGATTTCTTCAAGGTTAGGAGCTTGGGCTTTAAAATTAGATAGACATAGGTTGAAATTCTGCTTTTCTGCATTATAAGCTGTGGGATTTTTGGCAAATTATTAGAAATTAACCTCCATAAAGCAGTTTTCTTATCTGTTAAATAGGGATAATCATACCCATTGAGAGGTTAAGATGATTAAATGAAATCATGCGTGTAAAATGCCTGGAACTGTGCCTAGCAAATTGTAAACATTAATGAATGGTAAATGTCATATTTGCCCCCATTGACAAAGTCAGAATATTTTTGTCTAATATCTCCCCTTTGTATTTAAAAAGGCCAAGTTTTTTCTCGGGGAGGTATGGAGTTTACATGAACTTGTAAAATCCTTCTCTGAAACAGTTGCTGCTTTTAACAATTACCTTTCTAAATAGATTAGATTATACCTGGTCCTCTTCAGAGTAGCAATTAAACAGTCTTTTCATAGTTTCAAGCAAGATATATAAACAACCACAAATGTAACCTTACATTGTGATTTTCTAAACAAGAGTGTTTGTCACTGTAGTTATTGCATGCTTCTTTTGATTTCAACCAAGCTTGTCCAGCCTGTGGTCAGCAGGCTGCTTGTGGCCCAGGATGGGCTTTGAATGAGACCCAACACAAATTCATAAACTCTTTTTTTTTTTCTTTTTATTTTTTGAGACGGAGTCTTGCTCTGTCGCCCAGACTGCAGTGCAGTGGTGTGATCTCGGTTCACTGCAACCTGTCTCCCAGGTTCAAGTAATTCTCCAGCCTCAGCTTCCCGAGTAGCTGGGATTACAGATAAACACCACTATGCCGGGCTAAACTTTCTTAAAATATTAAGAGTTTTTCTGAGCAGGCATGGTGGCTCACACCTGTAATCCCAGCACTTTGGGAGGCTGAGAGGCAGGTGGATCACCTGAGGTCAGGAGTTTAAGACCAGCTTTGTTAACATGGTGAAACCTCGTCTTTACTAAAAAATATGAACATTTTGTATTTTTTACAAAATTTTTTCGTAAAAAAAATTGTCTTTAGTAAAGACAAGGTTTCACCAGGCGTGGTGGCACAGGCCTGTAGTCCCACGTACTGGGGAGGCTGAGGTGGGGAAATCACTTGAATCTGGGAAGTGGAGGTTGCAGTGAGCTCAGATTGTGCCGCTACACTCCAGCCTGGGCAACAGAATAAGACTCAGTCTTAAAAAAGAAAAAAAAAAAGATTTTTTTGGCCAATTTTTTTTTAGGCTCATTAGCAATTGTTAGTGTATTTTATGTATGGCCCAAGACAGTTCTTCTAGTATGGCCCAGGGAAGCCAAAAAATTGGACACTCTTAATGAACTGTAGTTCAGAGAAGTTATTTTCATATTAATGAAATGCTGTAATGAAAAAAATACTAGTACCTAGAAAAAAAAAAGCTAACTCTGGATGATGTTTTTTTTTTTTTTTTTTTGAGACCGAGTAGTGCTCTGTTGCCCAGGTGGGACTGCAGTGGCATGATCTCAGCTCACTGAAGCTTCTGCCTCCCTGGTTCAAGCAATTCTCCTTCCTCAGCCTCCTGAGTAGCTGGATTACAGATTACAGATGCCTACCACCACAACTGGCTAGTTTTTTTTTGTTTTTGTTTTTTGTGGGGTTTTTTGGGTATTTTTAGTAGAGACAGGGTTCCCCATATTGGCCAGGGTGGTCTTGAACTCCTGATCTCAAGTGATCCGCTTGCCTCTGTTTCCCAAAGTGTTGGGATTACAGGTGTGAGCCACCATGCCTGGCATAGTTCCAGCTTCCTTTCTGGCCTACGCGTTTCAAGGAAATCACTTCTCTTCTAACTACAAGCAGCTCGAAAAAGCAGACAGTAAAACACAAATAAGACAGCTCAGGCACAAAGGGAGGTGGGGGGAAAGTCTCTTGGGTAACCGCCAAACTTCACTCTCATATAATGGGCCCCAGTAAAACAGTGGGCCTTAATAGGCACATTCCTTTCCCTTCAGGTGTACTAAAATTGGGAAACTAAAGCAGACTCGGGGCGGGGGGGGGTATTCCTGCAGCTCCAGAAAATGTGGAATAAACACACAACTCTCCCTCCCAGATAAACATTATAGAAAAACAGAAGCAGCTCAAGCCTCTTATAAACTCTCCCACCCTAAATCCTTAAAAACTCTTAGACTGGGAAAGAGTGTGCCTCTAACCTAACTCAGCCAAATGCCCCTCTCAGGTTTGTTTTCTCAAAAATAAACCTGTCTTAACTGGCAAGCTACCCTACATGTTTCTCTCCTCTTTCTTTAATTCTTAAAGTTAGAAATAAGGCCTGAAGCCACAGTTGAATAAGTTTCATCTAAAATTATAGCAGCATAAGCCCACAGAGAAATAGTTTTAATTTGCAGAACTTAATTTCCCACAACAAAATTTTAATGAATGCTTTTTTTTCTTTTGAGACTGAAGTGATAAATTTCTTCTGAATGCTCTTATATCAGCCTATTATTCTGTGTAAACTCCGTGAAATACATTTTCCTGAAAATACCTGTTTATTCATATGATACTGATTAAATATTCAACATTTGCTGTTTCTTTTGTAGCAGAATTACCTGATTCTAGGACAAAGGAAATTGAAGCCATTCATGTAATCTTGAGATCAGAGGTAAGGAAAATAAAAAACTACTTAAATTTTTTTTTTGAAGTCATGAAAGTTACTCAAATATTATTTTCATCCTTTCTTTTTAAATGTACTGCTTTATCACTTTTTCTCTCTTCCTGTTTAATCTCCGTTGTTTTTATCAGCCTTCTGTATATCAAAAATATATTTACATGTTGTTGCAGTTTGCTATTCTTTAATATTCCTATCTCTTATTTCTGTATGCTGTAAGTAGGAAAACTACCAAATGTAGAAATTAATAGTAGCAATACTTTATCATAATCCAGGCTTTACTGTGTTCCAATAGTGAACTAAATTGCAGTGGTACATTTACGTATAATGTGAAGAATGCAATTCTGTTTAATCTGGAGATTTAAAAATCCCTAACTAAAATAATAATAATGTTTGGATACAAAGAAGCTTAGAACATATGAATAGCAGCTGGGTGCAGTGGCTCACGCCTGTAATCCCAGCGCTTTAAGCCAAGGCGGGTGGATCAGTTGAAGTCAGGAGTTCGAGACTAGCCTGGCCAACATGGTGAAACCACCTCTGTAACTAAAAATACAAAAAATTAGCTGGGCATGGTGGTGCATACCTGTAATCCCAGCTACTTGGGAGGCTGGGGCAGGAGAATTGCTGGAACCTGGGAGGCGGGGATTGCATTGAGGCGAGATCACACCATTGTGTTCCAGCCTGAGTGACAGCAAAACTCTTTCCAAAAAAAAAAAAAGAATATAGGAATAGCAAATTAATTTTACTGTTTTATTTATTCTTAGTGTCTAGATTGGGCGCAGTGGCTCATGCCTGTAATCTTAGCACTTTGGGAGGTGGAGGTGGGAGGATGGCTTGAGGCCAGGAATTTGAGACTCGTTACAAAAAATAAAGATTAAAAAATTAGTCAGATGTGGTGGTAGGTGCCTGTAGTCTCAGCTACTTAGGAGGCTGAGATGGGAGGATCACCTGATCTTAGGGCCCAGGAAGTCAGGGCTGCAGTGAGTTGTGATACTGCCACTATGCTCCAGCGTGGGTGACAGAGTGAGACCCTGTATCAAAAAAAGAAAAAGACACTTTAATGATTTAAATACAGCAAATCCAAATTTTAATTTCTATTTTTCTTTCTGGTTTTGAAAGCATAAAGACTCAAAATAAGCAATGTTCTTTGAATTTAGTTAACTGCTTTTTAACTCTTAATTGTACAACCTGGAATATCTTTATCTGGTAATTTTTTTTTTTTTTTTGAGACGGGAGTTGCCCAGGCTGGAGTGCAGTGGGGCGATCTCAGCTCACTGCATGCTCCACCTCCCCAGTTCAAGCAATTCTCCTACCTCAGCCTCCCGAGTAGCTGGGATTACAGACACCTGCCACCATGCCCAGGTAATTTTTTGTATTTTTAGTAAAGACAGGGTTTCACCATGTTGGCCAGGCTGGTCTTGAACTCCTGACCTCAGGTGATCCACCCGCCTCGGCCTCCCAAAGTGCTAGGATTATAGGCATGAGCCACCGCACCCGGCCATCTTGTCAAAATTGATTCCAAATTTCAGTTACTTTCCTAATAGATTTCACATTATTATTACATCTAGTTCTTTTTGTTGTTGTTGTTTTGAGACAGGATCTTGCTTTTTTGCCCAGGCTGGAGTATAGTGACACAGATAGCTCACTGTAGCCTTGAACTTCTGGGCTCAAGCCATCCTTCTGCTTCAGCCTCTTGAGTAGCTGGGATGACAGGCTTGCGACACCACACCCAGCTAATTTTTAAAATTTTTTTGTAATAGGCTGGGAATGGTGGGTCAGTCCTATAATCCCAGCACTTTGGGAGGCTGAGGTGGGCAGATCACTTGAGGTTAGGAGTTCAAGACCAGCTTGGCCAACATGGTGAAACCCCATCTCTACTAAAAATACAAAAATTAGCTGGGCATGGTGGCATGCGGCTCCAATCCCAGCTACTCAGGAGGCTGAGGCAGGAGAATCGCTTGAACCCAGGAGGTGGAGGTTGCAGTGAGCCAAGATTGTACCACTGCACTCCAGCCTGGGCAACAGAGCGAGACTTCGTCTCAAAAAAAAAAAAAAAAAAAAAAAAAGGATGATGTAATATTTTGGGCGGTCCAGTCAGGAAACTGGTTATTTTCTAGTTCATTCTCCTAGGTGATTTCATAAGTTTTCCATTTTCTTATTGTCAGTTTTAGAATAGTTGCCGATAATTTTTAAATTGATTTTTTAAAATTCCTGTGATAGTAAAAAAACAAAATGTTTTAAGATACAGAAAATATGGCTGGGCACAGTGGCTCATGCCTGTAATCCCAGCACTTTGGGAGGCCAAGGTGGGCGGATCATGAGGTCAGGACATCCAGACCTGACCTGACTAACACGGTGAAACCTGTCTCTACTAAAAATACTAAAAAATTAGCCGGGTGTGGTAGAACATGCCTGTAGTTGCAGCTGCTCGGGAGGCTGAGGCAGTAGAATCACTGGAACCCAGGAGGCAGAGGTTGCAGTGAAGTGAGATAGCGCCACTGCACTCCAGGCTGTGTGACAGAGCCAGGCTCCATCTCAAAAAAATAATAAAAAAATAAAAAAGATACAGAAAATACAAGTTGATTGTGATCCCATGGTTTTTCTTAGATTTATAAAAGGATTCAGGGTATCCTTATGGTAATTGATTGATAGAATATTTTATTCTATTTTGAAAAATATGTAAATTTTCTCTTTGTTGGTAGACCTCTAAGAAAGAATAAAAGAAATAAATAATCAAGTTTTACGAATAGTTAGGACTACTTAAAAAAGAAATTAAGTTGATTTTAGAGGACCCTGGATTAAGCAGGGTGGAATATTTTAGATATGAGTATCTGTGGACTTCAGCAGCAGAAATGTAGTCAGACTTTAGAGGGACTCAGCTAGAACTGGAGGCCATCAGGAGTCTCTCTCTTTTCATTTGTACTCTCTTCTCTTGTATTTATGCTTATTCTTCTTTCAAACCAGCCTCCTTTGTTCATATTCCACATAATTGAAAATATTGTCTCTGGCAACTCTCTTCATATTTTATGGGTTCAGCCACATGAAGAGAATTTGTCCTTCATTTGCTCTTTTAGCCTTTCTTTTGCTTTTGAGACAGGGTCTTGCTCTGTTACCCAGGCTGGAGTGCAGTGGTGTGATCATGGCTCCCTGCAGCTGTGACCTCTCAGACTCAAGCAATCTTCCCTTCTCAACCTCCTGAGTAGCTGGGACTATGGGCGCAAGCCACCATGCCCAGCTAATTTTCATATTTGTATTTTTTGTAGAAGCGGGGTCTCCTTATGTTTACCAGGCTGATCTCAAACTCCTGGGCTGAAGTGATTCTCCCGCCTCAGCCTCCCAAAGTGTTGAGATTATAGGTGTGAGCCACCGCACCTGGCCCTTTCTCAACCTTTCTGACTCTTATATGGCTAGGGAGATAAGGGCAGACAACCAAGTAGATATTGACTATATTCAGAGTTTTAAGGTTCTTTTTTTCGTTCTTTCTTTTCTTTTCTTTTTTTTTTTTTTTGGAGACAATTTCACTCTGTCACCAGACTGGAGTGCAGAGGTGCTATCTTGGCTCACTGCAACCTCTGCCTCCTGAGTTCAAGCAATTCTCATGCCTTAGACTCCTGAGTAGTTGGGATTACAGGCACACACCACCACACCCAGCTAATTTTTGTATTTTTAGTAGAGACGAGGTTTCACCATGTTGGCCAAGATGGTCTCCATCTCTTGACCTCGTGATCTGCTCACCTTGGCCTCCCACAGTGCTGGGATTACCGGTGTGAGTCACCACACCTGGCTGAGTTTTAAGGTTCTAGTTACTAATCAGAGTTAAACAAATAAACAAATAACCTTAGGTAATTTTGTGTGGGGAAAAAAAACCTGAAGTAAACTTTCATAACCAGTTTTTGACTTAAGTATATCGCCCAGTTATGTATGGTGTTTTTCATATTAACAGTTTATAGAAAATCATGCAAAAGCAGCCAGTAGGATAGAAGATAATCAGCTGTTGTGACCATTGGTCTTGTTTTTTATTACTGATTCTTCCAGATAATTAAGGTCTGTATTAGATTTCTAGGGATGGAGTCCCAAACTAGGATTTGTAGATGTTGTAATTATTCCTTTGATTATTCCATTGGTTTTCTCTGGGAATTTATGTAATCGTCCCTGGATCATTATTTTCAGATCTATTAACATCAGAAGTTCCTAGAATCTAAGAAGAAAACAGATGACATCCCCAAAGTGAAAAAGTCTTCACCTTTTAGCAAGAACTTTTTGTCTCACCATCAGTCTCCTTTTTCTCATTCATCGTTAAACTGTGTTTATAGGTGTATTAGTAGAATGCTTACTAAATTGTTATCTGCAATGACTTGTAAATTCTTTTCTGTAGAGGGTTTAGTGTCCATTTCTCTTGTCCTATTATGTTCTTATTTCAATTAAATAAGGAATGAATAATAGATTAATATAATTTAATATTTGGGTACATACAATTTGAGTAATTTTTTTTGTTTTTCAACATCTTAAAAGACTGTGTGAGATGTCTAGGTTTATTGAATTAGGGTATTTTGTGTACTTCTAACTTTTTTCAAACAGTTCCAGTAGTGGTTTTTAAATTTGGAGTTTTCAGAGGTGCTTCAGGGAGCCTGAAAGACAGACAAACAATGTGAGATTTTAGCTTCCTCCCTATACTTCAACCAGAAAGATTTCTTTAAAAAAAAAAAGTTCTGTTTGGGGAGAAAAAAGCTCAGACATGTATTTCATTCATTTACTAGATGTGTATTGACTACTATATGCTAGAATTGGGTATACAAAGATGGGGAAACATTGATTAGTGGCTTTTTCTTAGCAGAAAATCAATCTGAGCAAAATGTTAATTTTTCCCCGTTTGGTTTAGAATTATGCATATTCTATATAAACATGGTCAGAGCATTTTTAACTTTAAAAGCATATTTTAAATTTCAGAATTCTGTCCGAGACCTGTTGTATTTGACTTTTTTGGGGGGGAAGCAGTATGGTTTTCATAATGCTGTGCAGATAACTAATTGCATGTTTTACTTGCAGTCTTTTGTTGAAAATACATTTTTTTTCCTAGAATGAAAGACTTAAGAAACTGTGTACTGATCTAGAAGAGAAACATGAAGCATCAGAGCTTCAAATAAAGCAACAGTCTACAAGCTACCGAAATCAACTTCAACAAAAAGAGGTAAATGTGATCACAGTTACTTCATATGTATTTCACTGTAATGTATTTAGGTATGTTTTTAGAGTTAGAATATAGATAAAGGTATATTCAGGTCTATGAAAATAAGGTGATAAATTTAATAATTCTCAACTCAGTTTGATATCCCTTATTTAATAAGAACTTTGTAAGGTTTTCTGTGAAGTTTACATTATATATTTGTTTACTTTTTTATTGTTTTTGAGACAGGGTCTCACTCTGTCACCCAGGCTGGAGTGCAGTGGTGTAATCTCCGTTCACTGCAGGCCTCCTGGGTTCAATTAGGATAGAACAGTAGTTCCTCCTACCCAGGGCTTTACAGTCAAGCCATTCTTTTGCCTCAGCTTCCTGAGTAGCTGGGATTACAGGTGCCCGCAACCACGCCTGGCTACGTTTTGTAATTTTAGTAGAGACGGGGTTTCGCCATGTTGGCCAAGCTGATTTCGAACTCCTGACCTCAGGTGATCTGCCCGCCTCAGCCTCCCAAAGTGCTAGGGTTACAGGTGTGAGCTACATGCCTGGCTAGTTTACATTATATAAACCAACCTATGTGATGTGTAATTTTTTCATTCCAAAAGAAGAAGAAAAAGGAAAGTATCTTTAGACATCTGTTGCTTATAATTTCTGATTTTATGAAGCCTAATATTTGTTGTATTGGCAAGTGCTTGATTTTCCATGGAAAAACATTAAGTGTAGTATAATCTACTTATAATTGTCTTATAATGTTTTTGAGTTTTTTTAGTTTGAAATGACTGCCTTGTAATTGATTTATCTTTGCTTTACAGTGCTGGTAGTAGGTATTATTATATAGTTTAATGTTATTCTGAATCCTTAAAATACAGTCTATATCCTCATGTGTCATGCTGTTACTGAATTCTCTTTAGTTTTTAGTACGTAAGTGGACGCCAGTAAATACTTAAGTTGAATTGAACCATTTCCTGTTTTATTATCCAGATCGTTTGGGTGTTTTTCAGTTTTTGACTAAATGTTCATTTCTACCATAACTTTATATTTGGGTTTTAAAAATCTAGGTGCCATGATTTCTGGTTCCTTTTGTGATATGCTAAGGTGAAAGATAGAAGTATGGCACATTAAAGATATACATAGGCATTGAAAGAAGTAGTGCTTAAATTTTCTGTTTTTTTTTTTTTTTTTTTTTTTTGATACAGAATTTTACTCTCTTTGCCTAGACTGGAGTGCAATGGCGCAATCTCAGCTCACCATCAACTCCGTCTTGCAGGTTCAAGCGATTCTCCTGCCTCAGCCTCCTGAGTAGCTGGGACTACAGGCATGCACCACCATGCCCAGCTAATTTTTGTACATTTAGTAGAGACGGGGTTTCACCTTGTTGACCAGGATGGTCTCGATCTCTTGACCTTGTGATCCGCCCGCCTCAGCCTCCCAAAGTGCTGGGATTATAGGTGTGAGCCACCGCACCTGGCCTAATTTTGTATTTTCAGTAGAGATGGGGTTTCTCCATGTTGGCCAGGCTGGTCTCGAACTCTGGACCTGAGGTGATTCTCCCACCTCGGCCTCCCAAAGTGCTGAGATTACAGGTGTGAGCCACCATTCCCGGCCCGAAAGTAGTGCTTAAATTTTCAATTTGTTGGGAAGTGATAATTTTATAAAATGGAATAAAAAAATGAATTACTACAAAAACAAAATGAATACTCCAAAAAGCAAAGTTGCAAGTTCAAATAATTTTTTTTTGAGATAGAGTGTCCTCTATTGCCCAGGTTAGAGTGCAGTGGTGCAATCTCGGCTCACTGCAACCTCTGTGTCCCAGGTTCAAATAGTTCTCGTGCCTCAGCCTCCCGAGTATCTGGGATTACAGGCATGTGCTACTGCACATGGCTAATTTTTATATTTTTTGTAGAGATGGGGTTTCACCACATTGGCCAGGCTAGTCTCAAAATCCTGACCTTAGGTAAGCTATCTGCCTTGGCCTCCGAAAGTGCTGGGATTACAGGCGTTAGCCACTGTCCCCGGCTGCAAGTTCAAATTAAAGTTACAAGTCTCCTTGTTTTTTCTCTCACGATTCCCCAGCTCTACTAAAAACAGAAAACTTAGCTGGGCATGGTGACGTGTGCCTGCAGTCTCAGCTACTTGGGGGGTTGAGACAGGAGAATTGCCTGAACCCAGGAGGTGGAGGTAGCAGTGAGCCTAGATGGTATCATTACATTCCAGCCTGGGCAACAGAGCAAGACTCTGCCTCAAAAAAAAAAAAAAAAAAAGAAAAGAAAGATTCAGCAGATATAAAATTACCACCAAATTGCTTTACAAGTTTTTAAACCTTACTCTTCCCCTTGCTGTACTTGCTATGGACTGGTAGTGAGCATTCACTGCATTCATCCGTGGATCACACTTTGAGTAGCACTGACTTATAAACATTATGATAGAACAGTATTTCCTCCTACCCAGGGGTTTACAGCTGAATCTTTAAAAGCATATACATGTTGGCTGAGCGTGGTGGCTCACACCTATAATCCCAGCACTTTAAGAGGCTGAGGTGGGTGGATCACGAGGTCAGGAGTTCAAGACCAGACTGGCCAACATGGTGAAACCCTGTCTTTACTTAAAAAATACAAAAATTTGCTAGGCGTGGTGGCTCATGCCTATAATCTCAGCTACTTTGGAGGCTGAGGTAGGAGAATTGCTTGAACCAGGACCTGAGAGATAGAGATTGCAGTGAGTCAAGATCATGCCACTGCACTCCAGCCTGAGCTACAGAGCAAGACTCCATCTCGAAGAAGAAAAAAAAAAAAGAAAAGAAAAGCATATACATGTTTACACCACCTAGGAGATTGTAACTTAGTGTACTGGGAAGAGGCCCTGGTGCAGGTTGAGCATTCCTACCAAAATACAAAATGCTCCAAAATCCAAAACTTTGAGTGCCAGTGTGATGCCACAAGTGGAAAAGTCCACACATAAATACTGAACACAAGCTTTGTTTTATGCACAAAATTGCTAAAAGCATTTTATAAAATTACTTTCCCATGTCCCTATGGGTATTAAGGTGTATATGAAACATAAATGAATTTTGTGTTTAGACATGGGTCCCATCCCCAAGATATCTCATTATGTTTATGAAAATATTCTCAAATTGGAAAATATCTGAAATGTGAAACCCTTCTAGTCTCAAGCATTCAGATAAGGATACTCAACCTGTACTGATAATTTTTAAAAGCTCCATAGGGGATTCTGATGCTTACATCACAGTTGAAAATACTGGTGTGGAAAATTTTGGCATTTTATTTTCTACTTAACTATCCATATTAGAGGACACATTAAGCATTCAGGTTTGGAAATATCTGTTATTACAGTTTATAATTGTATAACTCTACAAGTTGATATAAGTATCTTATAGAATGATAACTTTTAAAATATTATAGCTACATTTGAAAAAAATGTAGATTTTAGTACTTTTTACAAGGATGAAAGATATGATTATATGGATCTGCTGCTTCCTGAATCTATCTGCAGCCTTCATTGTGATGTTCATATTCTCCAAGATGGAATTTATCTCATGTCATTTGTGGGAAAATGAATGAAAGTTGTACACTACCATAAATTTGCATTCGAGAAGGGGCTCCAGTATGAAAAACTTGTTTGTTATAACATATGACATACATGTATTTAGCTTTTGTCTACTTGCTTAACTCTATGCATATAGAAATACTATTACTTTTTATTTATTCCAAATTAAAAGCAAATTATTTGTGACACAGATTACTAAAATAAATTGTGTTACAAATTAAAAAAATATATATACTGTTACTTTTTGGCTGTCTTCCCAATATCAAATTTTCCTCAGTTGTGGCAGTGTCTTCTGGACTAGTTTGACTGCTTTACAGAAAGCTCATTTCAGTTCTGTCTATATTGTTTGTTCTTGTGTTTTGAATGATCTTTTACTCAGAGCGGATGTGGCATTGTGTGTGGTAGGTCCTGTGTTTATAACTTCTTTTGTGCTATGACTTGCCAGCCTTCAGTCAAAACTCTGCTGTTAGTTTCAGAATTTATATACTGTTCTCTTCCTGAATAGGTCAGATTTTCACTGCCTCCTCTTTGCCATAGCTAAAGCTAAGAGCTCTTTCAGTACATTATTTCTTTTTAAGATTCATGGGCTAATAACCTTGGGCTCACTGTTTCACTGTTATCTTATCTAAAAAGATTGGATTTATAAGTCAAAGCATTCTTCCAGCTGTGTTGTGCAGACCAATACAAAGTTACCTCTGATTCATGGTCCATTTTAAGCCTATGTCTAGCCATAATCAGTTACGTAAGACTCTTGTACAGGAGATGTTCTAAGGAAATTTCCAATGCATGGACTGACACAGGTTTCATTTCGCATCATTTAAGATTTGGTCATCATAAACAGAACCCTAAGAAATTGCCTATCTACCCCAAACAAAGAAGATAGCAAACCCATGTTGAACTGAGAAATGCATTGTTTTAGTTAACATACGAAATTCTGAAATTTCTACTATTTGTGACATTATTTGTGCTTTGTGTTTGTTTTTTAAATTAAAATGTTACAGTTAGAATCTTATATAAGATAGATTCAGTTAATAGAGGACCATCTTAGACAAATTATTATATTGTGTCTTTTAATACAAATCTACAAAAGGTTAATATGATTGTTTTAAAGTACCCTTTCTAAAACATGGGTTATAAATATATAGGTAGAAATCAGCCATCTTAAAGCCAGACAGATTGCACTCCAGGATCAGTTGCAAAAACTGCAATCAGCTGCTCAGTCAGTACCTTCAGGAGCTGACGGTGTACCAGCCACCACTGCTTCGTCTTCATTCACTTATGGGATTAGTCATCATCCTTCAGCTTTCCATGACGATGATATGGACTTTGGTGATATAATTTCATCCCAGCAAGAAATAAACCGACTTTCAAATGAAGTTTCAAGGCTTGAGTCTGAAGTTGGCCATTGGAGGCATATTGCCCAGGTAGATAAAATTTTTTACAAGTTTTTGAAAACTTTGAGTAAAAATACTGGCGTAATATAAAAAGCTGTATGTAGGGTGTTTGATATCTGAAAGAACCCTGTACTAGGAAATAGAAAACCTGTATTCTAATTCCATCAGTGACTTTCTAAGTGATTTTGGTCATCATCTTTCTCTCCCAGTCTGTTTCCCTTTCTGTACACTATTTGGGAAAAAGTTACAAAAAATTAAATTAACAGATCCTTTAAAAAAAAATAATGTTATTAGTCCAGGACTCAAAAGAGAAAAATGTTGAGTTGCTGTGGTTGAACCAAGAACCTTCTCTTCTGGAGTCCCTGAGACTCCTGTGGTAAAAACACCAGGATTCTGAGGTACCATGTTTGAAACTGCTTGCTTAGATGTTGTTTGAGGTTTCTGCTAGTTCTAGTTACATGCAAAATGGAAATCTGGTCATTGATATTATAAAATATGATAAAGTATTTTATGTTGTTTCTCATGCATTAGCAAGTAATTCTTTGCTATTTGGGGCTGTGAACTTTCTTCCAAGGAGCCCTTTTTTATCTTACATATCAGATTATATTCAGGTGAATATCTCTTACCTGGAATGCTTGAGACAGACATGTTTCACATTTTGGATTTTGGAATCTTTTCCTTTTTTTTTTTTTTTGGAGACAGTCTCTCGCTCTGTTGCTCAGGCTGGAGTGCAGTGGCATGATCTTGGCCTATGCAACCTCTGCCTCCCAGGTTCAAGCGATTCTCCTGCCTCAGCCTCCTGAGTAGCTGGGATTACAGGCACATGCCACCACACCTGGCTAATTTTTTTTTTGTATTTTAAGTAGAGATGGTGTTTCACCATGTTGCCCAGGCTGGTCTCCAACTCTTGATCTCTGATAATCCACCTGCTTTGGCTCCCAAAGTGCTGGGATTACAGGCATGAGCCACTGCATCCAGCCAGATTTTGGAATATTTTCATAAACATAATGAAATATCTTGAGGATGGGATCCAAGTCTAACCATGGAATTCATTTAAGTTACATATAAAATTTATACCCATTAGTGCTTGTGAAGGTAATTTTATACAGTATTTTAAGTAATATTCTATAACTTGTTCATGAAACAAAGTTTGCATTAAGTACTTATGTGTGGAATTTTCCATTTGTGGCATCATGCTGGAACTCAGATGTTTCGGATTTTGGAGTATTTCAAATTTTGGATTTTTGGATTAGGAATTCTCAACCTGTTGTATGCTATGGAAATTGTCAGGAGACATTAAGACCTGGAATTAACTGGAACATTGTTCATTTGAATTTAATTTCATCGTTGTAAGAAAAAAACAAATTATATGAGTAAAAAGATTGTTTTTTGTGTTTTCGTAAATGTAATCTAGTTATGTAAAGGAGAAATCTTCCCAATTAAAATTATCTCCTTCCTTCACAAGTTGCTAGACAATCTCAGTACACAAAATAAGCCTTAGAGAAGATGATCTGTTGGTCCGTCTTTTCTTCAAAAAGCAGTCGTTCTTAAATTTTCTATGTGTAACAAATGACCTGAGGAATTTGGCAATATTGTAGATATTCTGTTGTACCTTCAGAGATGCCAATTTATTAGCCAGTTTTAGGGTCTTAAACTGCTTTCAAACAAATAACTGGTGATTCTGATAAACTGAGGAACACATTTTAAGAAACAATGGTCAGAGTAAGATTCATAGGGAAGAGAATGGTTTTTGGTGTGTTCACTTCAGCATGTCTTGAATGCCTACTCCATGACAGACCTGTACTAGACTACAAAGGTGAAAAAGGCATTATTGGGACCTTTCTGAGGACTTAATTTTCTAGCAAGACATAATAAAAATTAATATTTGTATTACACTTTATAAGATCCTCTCTATGTATTATCCCAATATATTATTATGTTAATAACTATGACATATATTTATTACCTCTATTTTATAGATAAAGAAACTGAAACTTTAAGTAATACAATCTGCTGCCACAGTGATTAAATTATAATTCAAACACATGTTTGTCTCTAAATCCTGTATTTTTTCTATTATGCTTTATTCTTTGAGTCCTAGAGTAGCTTTTGGTTCATTAAGATGTTATGTAGTAGTAATATAAGATAAGTGAACAACATACAGCTTTGAATGAGAAGAATCCAAAAGTTGTTTTATTTATTTGTTAAACCAAAGATTATTCTCTATTGGGTAGAGATCTTCTGGATTATTCTCTATTGGGTAGAGATCTTCTGGGTAAAATCATTTTAAAAAGATTTTGCCAGGCATGGTGGTTTATGTCTAATCCGAGCCCTTTGGGAGGCCAAGGCAGGAGGATTGCTTGAGACCAGGAGTTCGAGACCAGCCTGGGCAACATGGTGAGACACCGCCCCTCCATCCCACAAAAAAAAGAAAAAAATAGCTAGAAATGGTGGGATGTGCCTGTAGTCTCAGCTACTTGGAACACTGAGGCGGGAGGACTGCTTGAGCCCAGGAGGTAGAGGCTGCAGTGAGCCATGATCACACCACTGCATTCTAGCCTGAGTGACAGAGAAAGACCTTGTCTCAAAAAAAAAAGAAAAAAAAGAGAATTTCCTTTTAGAAAGCTGCTCAATTATCTTTACCCTTAAATTTTGTCAAGCTAAGTAAAATATTCTATAAATTTTTTACCTTAACTTTAGTTATTTTATAAAACTGTTGTCCCCCCAATTAGTTAATACATTCTTAAACATGTTATCTTTTATTTATTGTGTATTATTCACTGCTGGACTAGGTTCTTTAAAAGGTGCATGGCATTCCTTAGTCAGAATCTGTGCAGTGCTCCCTTTTTTAAAGAGTATCTTTTAATGAAGTTTGTTTGTGACTTTCTGTTGACAAGAAAATCAGTATAATTATTTACTAATTCTCTTTTTCTGATCTAGTCTTCCAAAGCACAAGGAACACATAACTCTGATCAAAGTGAAATATGTAAACTGCAAAATATTATTAAGGTAAGTCAAATTTTTGATTCATGATGGCAGTTTCATATCTAAATCTGCTTATTAAAAGCATAAGCCTACAGTCACTAGAGTGAATCAGCATCCAACAGAATGGGAAAAAATTTTTGCAGTTTACCCATCTGACAAAAAGCTGATGTCCAAAATTTACAAAGAACTCAAACAGATTTACAGGAAAAAAACAAGCCCATTCAAAAACGGGCAAAGGATATGAACAGACACTTTACAAAAGAAAACATACATGAGGCCAACAAACATGAAAAAATGCTCATCATCATTGGTCATTAGAGAAATGCAAATCAAAACCACATTGAGATACCATCTCACGCCAGTTAGAATGGCGATCATTAAAAAATCTGGAGACAACAGATGCTGGAGAGGATTGGAGAAATAGGAACACTTTTACACTGTTGGTGGGAGTGTAAATTAGTTCAACCATTGTGGAAGACAGTGTGGCGATTCCTCGAGGCCTTAGAAATAGAAATTCCATTTGATCCAGCAATCCCATTACTGGGTATATGTCCAAAGGACTATAAATCGTTCTACTATAAGGACACATGCACACGAATGTTCATTGCAGCACTGTTTACAATAGCAAAGACCTGGAACCAACCTAAATGCCCATCGATGATAGACTGGACTGGGAAAATGTGGCACATATATACCATGGAATATTATGCAGCAGTCAAAAATGGTGAGTTCATGTCCGTTGTAGGGACATGGATGAATCTTGAGAACATCATTCTCAGCAAACTGACACAAGAACAGAAAATGAAATATCGCATATTCTCACTCACAGGCGGGTGATGAAAAATGAGAACACATGGACACAGGGAAGGGAGTACTACACACTGGGGTCTGTCTATTAGGAGGAATAGGGGAGGGACAGCGGGGGGTGAGGGGGAGCTGGGGAGGGATAGCCTGGGGAGAAATGCCAAATGTGGGTGAAGGGGAGGAAGGCAGCAAAACACACTGCCATGTGTGTACCTATGCAACTATCTTGCATATTCTGCACATGTACCCCAAAACCTAAAATGCAATAAAAAAAAGCATAAGCCTCAGAGACCAGACTGTTAATGTTAAAGAAAAAATGAAAAATAAAAGCATAGGGCCGGGCGCAGTGGCTCAAGCCTGTAATCCCAGCACTTTGGGAGGCTGAAGCGGGTGGATCACGAGGTCAAGAGATCGAGACCATCCTGGTCAACAAGGTGAAACCCCATCTCTACTAAAAATACAAAAATTAGCTGGACATGGTGGCGCGTGCCTGTAATCCCAGCTACTCAGGAGGCTGAGGCAGGAGAATTTCCTGAATCTAGGAAGTGGAGGTTGCGGCGAGCCGAGATCGCGCCATTGCACTCCAGTCTGGGTAACAAGAGCGAAACTCTGTCTCAAAAAAAAAAAGAAAAAGAAAAAGAAAAGCATAAGTCTAAATTAGTAAAATTCTCAGTTATAAAAGTCATTATCATTATATAGATCATGATATTTCTTTTTCTTTTAGAGAGAGGGTCTCACTGTGTTGGCAGGCTGGAGTGTAGTGGCATGACCAGGTCACTGCAGCCTCCAATTCCTGGGTTCAGGTGATCCTCCTGCATAAGCTTCCCATGTAGCTGGGACTACAGGCGGGCACACTACCGTGCCTGGCTCATTATTTCTAAATTTTTTGTATAGATGGGCTTGCTAATGGTGCCCAGGCTGGTCTCAAACTTCTAGTCTCAAGCCTTCCTCCTGCTTCGGCCTCCCAGAAGTCTGGGAATCCAGACGTGACAGCGCGCCTTATCTTCTTTATTAAATATTTATGGCAAGTAAAGTATATAAAAATCTCTGTCTTTCCAAAATCATTTGGTTTTGAACATTTATTAGGGAGTTTATCTGTCATAAGTCTCTATATTCTATCTAGTAAAACTGTCTTTATTAAAATGTAATTGCTGGGTTGCTGAAGTTTTCCAGGTTTAGGCTGAAAGGATGTGGACAAAATAAAATACTAATATTCATTGGAAATAATTTAGCAGTAGAATTTTGCTAGTTCGTGTCAACTATTTCTTTAAAGAAAAGCCTTACTTACGTGTATTATTGTGGCTGTGAATTAGTTTTAGTGTTAAAATTATTGTCAGATATAGAATTTTTAGTTTTGGGTTTATTATTATTATCATACTAGAGTGGGTAGGATCCAGATCAGACCTTTGTTTAAATCCTGGCTGTATTATTTACATGCTTCATTGATAATAAAGCATTTTTTTATTTTTTATTAACAATAAATAAAACTTTTTTATTATCAATAAAGTAGAGACCATGATAATGCCTACCTTATAGGATTGTTTTGAGGTTTAAATGTAAAGCTCTCAGCCCAGTGCTGGCACGTAAGTAAGAAGTTAATTTACAGATTAGGATCTTTTTTTTTTTCCATAAGAGCATCAATTTTTTCATAGATTAGGATTCTTGGTTACAAGCAACAAAAACTATCTCTGCACAAGTAAAGCAAAAGAGAATTTACTGGAAGAACCCAGAGTAGTCCCTCTGCAGGACTGGAGGAGGAGCTGAGCATCTGGGCTTCAGGTTGGATAGGAGTGGAAAGAGTGTTAGGAACCTGGGTGGCGGGACCCAATGGACAGACTCTTAAGAATGCACTTGTCCTGATGCTTCCTGTCAAACCAATTTCCCTAGTTGACGGACTCAGCTCAAGATCCAGGTTCCAGGGAGAGACACAGTGGGCTCAACGTGGGTAGGAAGGTGCCAAGATTGACAGTTTGGGAGTCCCAATAAGATTGATAAAAGGAAAGGCTGAGTGAGACAATAAGGATAGTGGAACAGCAGGTACAGATTAGCCAGAGGGGTGACACCGGTATTGGTAGAATGTGTTATTAGGAAAAGGAAAGGTTCATGGTCACAGATACTAAGGAAAATACATTTTTACTCATTTTTTGTTTCAGCCTTTTCTTGCTGATGTTCCCTCATCAGATGTAGAAAAACTGTTTTTAAGACGTAAGAAAGGAAAGGGTGAAGTTGTTCAGAATTGTCCTAATTTTGGTCTATGTTGAAATTCTTTTCAGCCTTAACATGTTCTGATAATTATTTTTAATAATGCAGACTTTTGGATAATGGTTAAATATATAGCTTACTTAAATTTATTGACTATAAATTTGAACAACTTTGTTTTCATTTTTAAGGAACTAAAACAGAACCGAAGTCAGGATATTGATGACCATCAACATGAAATGTCAGTACTGCAGAATGCACACCAACAGAAATTGACAGAAATAAGTCGACGACATCGGGAAGAATTAAGTGACTATGAAGAACGAATTGAAGAACTTGAAAATCTGTTACAACAAGGTTATTGGTTTTATTTCTTTATTATTTATTATTATTTCTTTTTAGATGGAATCTCCCTCTCATGCCTAGGGTGGAGTGCAGTGGGACAGTCTCGGCTCACTTTAACCTCCACCCCCCAGGTTCAAGCAATTCTCCTGCCTCAGCCTCCTGAGTAGCTGGGATTACAGGCACCCACCACCATGTCCAGCTAATTTTTGTATTTTTAGTAGAAATAATTCTGCCATGTTGGCCTGGCTGGTCTCAAACTCCTGACCTCAGATGGTCCACTCGCCTCAATCTCCCAAAGTGCTAGGATTATAGGAGTGAGCTCCTATGCCTAGCTGGTTGTTAGTTTTATTAATTTAACATACTAGATGACATAATTAAATGGTAGGCCTAGCACTCTAAGACCAGGACAGTGCTGTGAACTTGCATTGAGTTATAATGAATGAGTAGATGACTGGTTCAGCTTATCTGCCAGAAATTTGCAATGACATCTCTACTTTCAAAATTCTGTGGCCAGGAGTGGCAGCTTATGGCTGTAATCCCAGCCCTTTGGGAGGCCAAGGCGTGTGGATCACTTGAGACCAGGAATTTGAGACCAGCCTGGCCAACATGGTGAAACCCCATCTCTACTAAAAATACAAAAATTAGTCAGATGTGATGGTGCTTGCCTGTGGTCCCAGCTACTCAGGAGGCTAAGGTGGGAGGATTACTTGAACCCAGGAGGCAGAGGTTGCAGTGAGGTGAGATGGTACCAGTGCCCTCCAACCTGAACAACAGAGTAAGACTCCATCTCAAAAAAAAAAAGAAAAAGAAGAATTTGTGAAAATGGAAATGTCCTTTTTGCCTTTGTGGTAAATAGTTATAATTTACAGATTTCTTTGCATTGTTTGGTGATGATTCTTTGGTAATAAATGATTAGAGATATTGTCACTTTCTTTCAAACTTGGATACATAGGTCTTTATGTAGTTGATTCAAATATTTTCCCCAACTTCTTATTTATTTTAAAATACTCTAGTTTATTACAGTAACTTAACTTTTAAGCTTTCCAAATTCTGAACTGTCTTAAATCTCTTGGTGTATATAGCAAGCAAGAACAAGTGCCAAGTTCTTGGTACTTGACATTTGACGTCCTTGTTTTGTGTTTATGTTCTAGGTGGCTCTGGAGTTACAGAAACTGATCACTCTAAAAGCTATGAGATGCAAAAAACTATTCAAGTTCTAGAAACAGAAAAAATGGAGTCTACCAAAAAAATTGAAGAACTTGAGGATAAAATAAAATATATAAATAAAAAATTATCTTCTGCAGAAAATGACAGAGATAGTTTGAGGAGAGAACAAGAACAGCTAAATGTGGAAAAGAGACAAATAATGGAAGAATGTGAAAACTTGAAATTGGAATGTAGTAAATTGCAGCCTTCTGCCATGAAGCAACGTGATACTGTGACAGAAAGGGAAAGACTTGTTGCACAGAGTGCATCAGTGGAAGAAGTATTCAGACTACAACAAGCACTGTCTGGTATACGGTCTTTGTAACTTCTTTCAGATTGTTGTTTAATTGCATGGTAGTTGTTTTTAGAGACAAATACTTCATTAACTGAATACTTTGTGGAAATGATATATTCCTGGAAATGACTGCCTGTTATTTGGGTGGAATTGAGTGGAGTAAGAATTAATAGATTGCGAATAGGACTTTCCTATTAAAAAGGATTAAGTATTGCTACCCTTTCTGTAACTCATCACAGCCCACACCTTCCAGTTAGGGAATACAGCCTTTCTTCTTCAAAGTCACTTGCTATCTTTTTGAAGTGGTCTCTATCCAAGCAAAGCCCTGAGTGCTTAGAGCCCTATGTCTTCCACCATTTTCTATGCTCATGATGATACTTAGTTACTATACCAGTGTTCTGTGTTACAGAAAATAAGTACTAAATGAAATAGGCCAAACACCAGTAAATAAAATAAATTTTAAAGTACTTGTACTCATGTTTTAAAAAACAAGTTTACTTATTTAAAAAGAATAATACATTTATTTATTTATCATATTGAGTGATCCAGATGAGTTTATTTGTTCAGAAAAGAAACCCACTGCCTTAGTCCTTCCCCTTTTTTCCATTTCCGTTGCCACAGAATTACTTGAGGCAATCATAATTGCTTTTGCCTCTATTAACTATGGCACTTCTCTGAATGTAGCAGAATAGCATAGTGGGTAAGGACATGACTGGGTTAGAATCTAACTCTATCACTAATTAGCTGACCTTGGACAGGTGAACATCTCTATGCCTTGGTTATTTCATCTATAGGGTTGGGATAATAATGGTATCTTCCTTGTAGTTTTAGTAATGAGGATTATATGAGTTACTGTCTGCCACTCTTTAGGATAGTGCCTAGCCAGTAGTGAGTGTTAAAGAGTTAGCTTTTAAAATTCTCCTTTCTCCAAGATTGCTTCAATCCAGATTTTTTTCTTCTGCAGCCAGAATAATTTGTCAGAAATGCAAAGCAGATTACTCTCCTGCTTTTAGTACTTTGTAGCTCCCTGTGAACTTCGGGATGATGTTTCAACTTCTTAGTTAAACATGATAATGTCTCTCGTGATCTGGTTCCTGCCTACTCTTCAGTTTAAACTTTTCCCATGCTCCTGACATTCTAAGTTTGAGCCATGTTGAATTTCTATAGCTCCTTAAACCAGCAATGTTGCCTCTTTGCTTTGTCACTCTTGCATTCTCTGCTTTCTCTGTGGAGCGTCTCTATGGGTCTTTTAGCTGACTCTTAGTGTATTGATTCAGTGCAGGTATTACCTCCACCGAGAGGAACCTAGCCCTGCTACTTCCTGTCCCCATTTGCTCCTCCTCGTCTGGATTAGGTGTTTGCCTTGTTCTCATAGCACCTCGTGCTTGCTCTATTATACTATGTTGTAATCCTCTGCTTACTAGTTTTTGTTCCTCTCTGAATTGTAAGCTCTTTGATAGCAAGGGCTAAGTTTTTCCAGCTTTTTATCTAGTACCTGGCCTCGTAGTAAATGCTAAATATTTCCTAAGTGAATGTCGAATCAATGATTTCAGCTGTGTTTTTTTGTGTGCCTCTTCTATTGATGGATCTAGCTATAATATCAGATTGGTTTTTTTTTTTTATCAGTATTCATGTCTAAATCACTTTAGATAATTGAGGGATTATGGTATTGTGGTAGTATAAATATACATTAATTACTTTTAAATTGTTTTCCTCCAATCTTAAACCATGTACAGTTTCCTGCTTCTCAGACTAATCAATTCATTTTGAAACGTAGTTGTGGTTAGCATTTTTATCAAGGCAATAACTTATGACTCATCCACAATACAGTTTAATTCTTTCTTATACTTATCCACAGAATTGTATTTTAACATGGTTTCTAACTGGCATTTGCAGTATGATTTATTTGATACAGACAAAAACAAATACAAAATTACAAATATGTGTTTCACTCAGAACAGTAACTGCTTGCCAGTGGTGCTTAAATATACACTTTGTTTTAATTGGGTTGCATTTCTGAGTTTAATATTGAAGATAATTTACTCTAAATAATTTTAATTTCAAGTTCATTTGCTGTTTTTACAGATGCTGAAAATGAAATAATGAGATTGAGTAGTTTAAACCAGGTAAATTAATTTTGACAAATGTTTTGTGTGTAGAGACAGTGGAAGCAGATCCTATATCAAAGTGAGAAATGCATATTAATTTTCTTAGGAGATTCAGAGAGTTGTTTTTCTAATAATTAGAAGTTATTTTGTAAATATATTTTTATATTTTTTCCAGCATGTTAAGGAAACCTATAGGAGTGTTGAAAATGAATGGCTGGCTTCATTCATTTTAGACACTCTTATAAGTATTACATTCTTATAATTATTATATATCATTAAAGAAATACTGAATAGAAACACACAGTTGTATAGATTGCCTGCTTTTTTGTAAACTGGAGATTTCTTGTTACCTGAAAACACTGCTTTAATTTATTTGTAGGATAACAGTCTTGCTGAAGACAATCTGAAACTTAAAATGCATATTGAAGTTTTAGAAAAAGAGAAGTCATTACTGAGTCAAGAAAAGGTAGGTGCTGTAAAAGTGGGGCTGAATTAAAATGGTGTGTGTTATAGTCCACAGCCAAGGGCCAGTTGATATCCAAATGGAATGTTTAGTAATTGAGCTCAAGTCCTGAGAATAGAGCTGATCTCATTGATGCTTGTCAGGCTGGGTTGAAGTACCTGGGCAAAGTTCAGAGTATAAGTGGCTGGCTTTGGGTTTATATTTAGAAATAAGCTAGTAGGCACACAGAAACAAGCAGAAAAGACAGGTGGAAGTTCTGTTTTGGTTTCTGATGATGTCCTGACAGCAGGAGCATACACAGGTAGGTCAGGAGGTCTGGAGTGGCATGCTATAATAACTGTATATACTGCTGTGTGCTTCAGAATGTGTTCATTAGAGTAGACAGGGCTTTCTTGGTGGTGAGGGGTACAGAGCAACAGTTTCAGTGGTAGAAAGAAGGTGTTTTGTTTTGTTTTTGAGTTGGAGTTTCGCTCTTATTGCCCGGGCTGGAGTACAATGACGCAATCCTGGCTCACTACAACCTCTGCCTCCTGGGTTCAAGCAATTCTCCCGCCTCAGCCTCCCAAGTAGCTGGGATTACAGGTGTCTGCCACCACACCTGGCTAATTTTGCATTTTTAGTAGAGATGGGGTTTCTTCCTGTTGGTCAGGCTGGTCTCAAACTCCCAACCTCAGGTGATCCATCTGCCTTGGCTTCCCAAAGTGCTGGGATTACAGGCGTGAGCCACAGCACTCAGTGAAATAAGGCCTTTATAGGAGTACAGAGCGACCATTTCAGTGGTGGAAAGAAGGTCTTTATTGTATATGTTCATAGCAAGGAAGAAATAAGATTCTGAAAGGGAAGGGTATTTAGAAGTATTTTTATGTTTGTATCACTTTGGGGAAATTTCTTGGCTAAGACACGTGCTTAAATATAGGACAGTTATAAGGTAGTATTATTAAGTTAAAGGCCAGTGTCTTAATTTAAATTCTTAATTTTAAAAACTGGTACATATTTTCTGATATATATGTTCAGAAAACATACATACTGAAAACCTTCAGACAGTATAGTGGAATATCTTTCACGCCTTTATGGCTTGGTCTCTTTCCCAGGGACAGTCTCTTACCAATTTCTAGTGTTTTTTTGCAGACTCTTTCTATGCATGTATGATTGTATATATCAGTAGCATTAAAAAATACAAATGTTAGCACATTATAAATACCCTTTTTACATGCCATGTTTCCAACATCTTTCCACGTTAGTATATATGTAGTGTTTCTCAAAGGGACTGCTGTTGGCATTTAAGCAGGAAAATTCTTACTTGTGTGTGCTACCCTGTGTATTGTGGGATTCTTGCTGCTACACTTTTTACCCATTACATGCCAACAGTATCTCCCAGTCATTTAAAAAATTACTATATTATATGTATTTCTCTTTCCTGTCTCTGTTCCCATTGTATTCTGCCCTTTACCTGACTGACCTAGTAGTTTGTAGTTTGCAGACCTTTATGCCCTTATCTGGTAGGGCCTGTAACCTTTTCATGATGAGTTTGGTTTCTGTAGCTAGTCCTGATCACTGTTTCTCCCTTCTTTTGATGTTAAGTAGTCCATTGTAACTCTTCCTTGAATTGTGTCTGCTTGCTGATTAAGAATACCAAGTATCTATGAGGGTGGGCACTTAGGGAGGCCAAGGTGGGATGATTGCTTGAGGCTAGGAGTTCGAGACCAACCTGGACAACATAGTGAGACACCATCTCTACAAAAAAAAAAAAAACTAAATAAAATTTTTTAGAAGTCCCTATGAGGCTATGAGCTTTTAAGATCCACTTTAAGAAAATGTTTGTGGTTCTCCTAATTTGAACAGATAGCTTTGGAAAGACTTAAGAGAATGCCGTTTTCATCTTTCAGCTGTAGTTAGAATAAATTTTTTAATTAGAAGGAAATAAAAATTGTGATACAGATGCTCTACTGTAGATTTTTTTGGTTTTTTTCAACCAACTCTCCATAGCAATGTTAGGTTTCTATTATAAGGTATATATTACGGTGTTTATTTGAAGGAATTTGAGATTCTTATTTTTTTAAATTTTACTTTTTAGAGAGACAGAGTCTTGCTATGTTGCCCAGGTTAGAGTGCTGTGGCTGATCACGGCGTGATTATAGTGCACTAGAGCCTTGAACTCCTTGACTCAAGTAATCCTTCTGCCTCAGCCACCTAGGACTATAGGTACATGCCATCACACCTGGTTCATTAAAGTAGATTCCATATAGGTTTGATTTTTAAAAATCTGTCAATGAAAGAAGACTTTAATATATAATTTTTTACAAACATCATAACTAGAAACTGAAATAATGTTGAAGCATAGAGAACTGCCCGACTTCTGAGATTTTGGAGAAAGCATTAAATACCAAGTAGTAGACTATAAAATGCATATATATTATCTTAAGGAATGTCAGGTGTGATGGGGGAATCTAGTCTGTGCTCAGGAAGTAAAGGAGGGAAGGAGGGTTATTTCTTGGGTCAAGAAAAAGTTCCATATTGCGACAGAAGCATAAGTAATAAGGGAAATTAGTAAGAGAAAAGAAACCTTTCTAATTAGAGAGGCTAAACTTTTGGGTGAAGAAGTGTTGCTTTTTTATGTTTTTATTTAGTTTGTGGCTGTTGATGACTGGATGTTAGAGAATAGAAGTGAGGAAGGCAGAAAGACCTAGGGACATTTTGAAAAGTATGTTTGTATGATAGGTGGGGCCAGGGGATAAAGGGAAGCCACAGTGGAGCAGGATAGGAGAGGCTTTCAAATGGGAACTTTTTTTATAAAGAAGTTGGCACTAGAGGACAAACTTACAGTGATTACATCTTGTCTAGGATTATAGAAATGTTTTGCTTGAAGCTACAAGAAAATTGCGCATGAATGAAGGATGTGGTTTGTTGAATTTCACATGCCATTATTGAGGTATTGTTCAATACTATTTCCAATATAGAGCACTTAAAATAGATTCCCAAGTTTTGTTTCTATGTATGTTTTTAGCCTTTTGGTGTCTCTAATTGAAAGTATGTGTTGCTTTTTTCCCTTTATCATTTCAGGAAGATCTACAGATAGCACTTTTAAAATTGAAAAACGAATATGAAGGAATTAAAAGTACAGCTACAAGAGACTTAAGTTTGGATTCAGAATTACATGACTTAAGACTTCATTTGGAGGCAAAGGAACAAGAACTCAATCAGATTATTAGTGAAAAGGAAATACTGATAGCTGAGATAGAAGAATTGGACAAACAAAATCAAGAAGCTACAAAGGTAACACTTAAATACAGCGAGGCAGCACATTCTATTAAGTAGTAACTTAAACACTGGATTGACGTGCAGAAATGGGTGATTTAATTAATGGTTTAGTTCATAGATCTTGACAAACCTCTTTGGTAAAGTGCTAGGTAGTAAATATTGTTGTCCTTGTAGGCCATATAGTCTCAGTCTACTAAACTCTGTTGTTGTCATATCAACAAATGAGTGTGACCATGCTTCAATAAAATTTTATTTACAAAACAGGCAGCATCTCTGAGTTGACTCATGGCTATACTTCATTGACTCCTGCTCTGGTGTAGAGATAAAAATGAACAACATACGCTATTTACCATCTTTGGTTTTAAATTTTTATCCCTAAAATGCTGGGGCTGGGCACAGTGGCTCACGCCTGTAATCCCAGCACTTTGGGAGGCTGAGGCAGGCAGATCACCTGAGGTCAGGAGTTCGAGACCAGCCTGACCAACATGGAGAAACCCCATCTCTACTAAAAATACAAAATTAGCCAGGTGTGGTAGCACATGCCTGTAATCCCAGCTACTTGGAAGGCTGAGGCAGGAGAATTGCTTGAACCTGGGAACTGGAGGTTGTAGTGAGCCGAGATTGGGCCACTGCACTCCAGCCTGGGCAACAAGAACAAAACTCTATCTCAAAAAAGAAAAAAGATTTGCTGTAAAATAGTAGTAAGTACTTTTGTAGTAGGTGTTTTGATAGGAAAACAACGTTTTTAAGAAGGATTAGAAATATCTGAGGATTATTCTATTATGTGTGAGATTTTATAAAATTTTTGTTAAGTACTAACTTGAGAAAATGTTGTAAAGTCACCATGCAAATTTTTCTTTCAGCATATGATTTTGATAAAAGATCAGCTATCAAAACAACAAAATGAAGGAGATAGCATCATCAGTAAACTGAAACAAGATCTAAATGAAGAAAAAAAGAGAGTTCATCAACTTGAAGATGATAAAATGGACATTACCAAAGAGTTAGAGGTACAGAAAGAGACGTTAATTCAAAGTGAAGTGGTGCTAAATGATTTACATTTAACTAAGCAGAAACTTGAGGACAAACTAGAAAGTTTAGTGGATCAGCTAAATGAGTCACAAAAAAGTACTGTAAGCATCCAGAAGGAGAATTTGGAACTTAAGGAGCAAATTAGACAAAATGAGGATGAGCTTTCTAGAATAAGGAATAAGTTAACTCAGTCTCTAAATCAAGACTCTAGTAGTAATTTTAAGGATAATTTACTTAAAGAAAGAGAAGCTGAAGTTATACACTTAAAGGAAAGTCTTTCAGAATTAGAACAGCTCAATGAAAATTTAAAGAAAGTTGCTTTTGATGTCAAAATGGAAAATGAAAAGTTAGTTTTAGCACATGAAGATTTGATGCATCAGTTGGAAAAATCTATTGCTGATAACAAGCAGCTTTCTCTGGAAAAAAACACTATTGTGGAGACTCTAAAAATGGAAAAAGGAGAAATAGAAGCAGAATTGTGTCAGGCTGAAAAGAGGCTGTTGGAAGAAGCAAACAAGTATGAGAAAACCATTGAAGAACTGTCAGATGCACGTAACTTGAATGCCTCTGCCTTACAGGTGGAACACGAGCGTTTAATGAAACTCAGTCAAAAGAAAGACATTGAAATAGCAGAACTCAAAAAGAATATTGAACGAATGGATACTGATCACAAAGAAACTAAGGACATTTTATCATCTAGTTTAGAAGAGCAGAAGCAGTTGACACAACTTATAAATGAGAAAGAAATTTTTATTGAAAAACTTAAAGAAAGAAGTTCAAAGCTGCAGGAGGAATTGGATAAATATTCTCAGGCCTTAAGAAAAAATGAAATTTTAAGACAGACCATAGAGGAAAAGGACAGAAGTCTTGGATCCATGAAAGAAGAAAATAATCATCTGCAAGAAGAACTGGAACGACTTAGGGAACAGCAGAGTCGAACTGCACCTGTGGCTGATCCTAAGACCCTTGATAGTGTTACTGAACTAGAATATGAAGTATCTCAACTGAACATGATCAAGGATCATCTTGAAGAGGAAATTAAACATCATCAAAAGATAATTGAAGATCAAAACCAGAGTAAGACGCAACTACTTCAGTCTTTACAAGAGCAGAAGAAGGAAATGGATGAGTTCAGACACCAGCATGAACAAATGAACGCCACACACACCCAACTTTTTTTAGAGAAAGATGAGGAAATTAAGAGTTTGCATAAAACAATCGAGCAGATCAAAACCCAGTTTCATGAAGAAAGACAGGACGTTCAAACAGATAACTCTGATATTTTTCAAGAAACAAAAGTTCAGAGTCTTAATATAGAAAATGGAAGTGAAAAGCATGATTTATCTAAAGCTGAAACGGAAAGATTAGTGAAAGGAATAAAAGAGCGAGAACTGGAGATTAAACTTCTAAATGAAAAGAATATATCTTTAACTAAACAGATTGATCAGTTGTCCAAAGATGAAGTTGGTAAACTAACTAAGATTATTCAACAGAAAGAGTTGGAGATACAAGCTCTTCATGCTAGAATTTCTTCTGCTTCCTATACTCAAGATGTTGTTTACCTTCAACAGCAACTGCAGGCCTATGCTATGGAAAGAGAAAAGGTATTTGCTGTTTTGAATGAGAAGACTAGGGAAAATAGCCATCTAAAAACAGAATATCACAAAATGATGGATATAGTTGCTGCGAAAGAAGCAGCTCTCATCAAACTGCAAGACGAAAATAAAAAATTGTCCACTAGATTTGAAAGTAGTGGCCAAGATATGTTTAGAGAAACTGTTCAGAATTTATCACGTATCATTCGAGAAAAAGACATTGAAATAGATGCACTAAGTCAGAAATGTCAGACTTTATTGGCAGTTTTACAAACATCCAGCACTGGTAATGAGGTTGGAGGTGTTAATAGTAATCAATTTGAAGAGCTTCTACAGGAACGTGACAAGTTAAAACAGCAAGTAAAGAAAATGGAGGAATGGAAACAGCAGGTGATGACTACAGTACAAAACATGCAACACGAGTCAGCCCAGCTTCAGGAAGAACTTCACCAACTTCAGGCACAAGTTTTGGTTGACAGTGATAATAATTCTAAATTACAAGTGGACTATACTGGCCTGATCCAAAGTTATGAGCAGAATGAAGCCAAACTAAAAAATTTTGGACAGGAATTAGCACAAGTTCAGCACAGCATTGGGCAGCTTTGCAATACCAAGGATCTTCTTTTAGGAAAACTTGATATTATTTCACCCCAGCTGTCTTCTGCATCATTGCTGACTCCCCAGTCAGCAGAGTCTCTTAGAGCAGGTAAGTCTGATGTATTGAGTGAATCGTCTGAATTGCTTCAGCAAGAGATAGAAGAGCTAAGGAAATCACTACAGGAAAAAGATGCCACGATTAGAACTCTCCAGGAAAATAATCATAGATTGTCTGATTCGATTGCTGCCACCTCAGAGCTAGAAAAAAAAGAACACGAGCAAACTGATTCAGAAATTAAGCAGCTAAAGGAGAAACAAGATGTTTTGCAAAAGTTACTTAAGGAAAAAGACCTCTTGATCAAAGCCAAAAGTGATCAGTTACTTTCTTCCAATGAAAATTTCACTAACAAAGTGAATGAAAATGAACTTTTGAGGCAGGCAGTAACAAACCTGAAGGAGAGAATATTAATTCTAGAGATGGACATTGGCAAACTAAAAGGAGAAAATGAAAAAATAGTAGAAACATCCAAGGGAAAGGAAACGGAATATCAAGCGTTACAGGAGACTAACATGAAGTTTTCTATGATGCTGCGAGAAAAAGAGTTTGAGTGCCGTTCCATGAAGGAGAAGGCTCTTGCTTTTGAACAGCTATTGAAAGAGAAAGAACAGGTACGTTCTGGATGGAGTATTGTTGCAGGAAGTTGGGGTGGAGGAGACTTTTTTTATGCTATTCCATTTATATTGTCTTTGAAGAGGACTGTGCATTTGTTCATTTAGAAATATTTATTTCAAGGTATGATTCATTCTAAATAAATTTTCCTCAGAGACATCTGGAAGTTCTCCCTCAAATTGCGAGGTATTTCCAAATATTTTTAGTGATACATTAATTTTTTACAGTTTGCTAAGTAGAAAAAAAGAATTTGGTAGTACTTAATTTTTTTTTCTTTCTTTTCTTTTTTTTTTTTTGAGACAGAGTCTTGCTCTGTCACCCAGGCTGGAGTTCAGTGGCTCATTCTTGGCTCACAGCAACCTCCACTTCCCAGGTTCAAATGATTCTCTTGCCTTAGCCTCCTGAGTAGCTGCAGTGCAGTGGTGTGACCTTGGCTCACTGCAACCTTTGCCTCCTGGGTTCTAGTGATTCTCATGCCTCGCCTCCCAAGTAGCTGTGATTACGGGTGCACAATACCACACCCAGCTAATTTTTGTATTTTTAATAGAGATGGGATTTCAACATATTGATCAGGCTGGTCTCAAACTCTTGACCTTGTGATCTGCCCATCTCGGCCTCCCAAAGTGCTGGGATTACAGGTGTGAGCCACCATGCCAACCTAATATTTTTCTCTAGATAACAGAAGTGTGTCATGAGAGAATTTTGAAGTCACTTCAGTTTAATCAAATCTTAGGTATATTTCAGTAACTTAACATTTTGGAGATTCTTTTTTTTTGAGATGGAGTCTCTGTCGCCCAGGCTGGACTGCAGTAGTGTGATCTTGGCTCACTGCAACCTCCACCTCCTGGGTTCAAATAATTCTCCTGCCTCAGCCTCCTAAGTAGCTGGAATTACCGTTGTGTGCCACCATGCCTGGCTAATTTTTGTATTTTTAGTAGAGATGAGGTTTCACCATGTTTGTCAGGCTGGTCCTGACCTCAGGTGATCCACCTGCCTCAGCCTCTCAAAGTGTTGGGATTACAGGCGTGGGCCATTGCTCCTGGCCTTAGAAATTCTTATGTATATATGTATGTGAAATATACATATGTCTTTAACCATCTGTAGTAAGAAATACATTTTACATTGTGACACAGTGAGAGAGAGAGAGACTGTGTGTGTGTGTGTGTGTGTGTGTGTGTGTTTCAGGAACCAGAAATTGCTCTTACTACATGTGATACTCTGTTTAAAAAAGAATGTGCTATTCAGGATGAATGACTTGGGCTAGAAATTTAAAAATAATTAAAAGCTGGGTGTGGTGGCTCATGCCTGTAATCCCAGCACTTTGGGAGGCCAGGACAGGCGGATCACAAGGTCAGAAGATTGAGACCATCCTGGCAAACATGGTGATAGTATCCTGGCCAATGTGGTGAAATCTCATCTCTACTAAAAATACAAAAGTTAGCTAGGCCTGGTGGCGCATGCCTGTAATCACAGCTACTTGGAAGCCTGTCGCACGAGAATTGCTTGAACACAGGAAGCAAAGATTGCAGTGAGCCAAGGTCGCGCCACTGCACTCCAGCCTGGCAACAGAGCAAGCCTCTATCTCAAAAAACGATGATAATAATAATGATGATAGAATGTGCTGCTGGGCACGGTGGCTCATGACTGTGATCCCAGCACTTTGGGAGGCCAAGGCGGGCAGATCACCTGAGGTCGGGAGTTTGAGACCAACCTGACCAACATGAAGAAACCCCATCTCTACTAAAAATACAAAATTAGCTGGGCGTGGTGGCACATGTCTATAATCCCTGCTACTCAGGAGGCTGAGGCAGGAGAATCACTTCAACCCAGGAGGCGGAGGTTGCTGTGAGTCGAGATTGTGTCATTGCACTCCAGCCTGGGCAATAGGAGCAAAACTCTGTCTCAAATAAATAAATCAGTGCTAGATGACTCATTAAATTGATTTTTATGAATTGATGAGTCACAACCTGAAATTTGAAAAGTATTGGACATGAGTAATACTTTTCTCGTGGTAGGCTCAGTAAATATTGTAATTCCAGTTCTGTCTGTGTTGCGACTTTGGATGCGTTTTGACCTTATTGGTTTGTTTATTCAGCCTTAAGACAGAAGGTCATAGCAGTTATATGGATAGTGCCAGTAGCTTTTGATAATATTTAAATTTTTAAATGCAATTCATTTTAGTAAGAATTATGAGGATTTTTCGTTTTACTAGATACCGTACTATATATGATAGTATAGTGTAGGGCTTGTTTGGTAGTGTATAGGGTGCTGTGTAGGGCTTGTAGTGCCTTTTTTCTGTGATTTCTATACTTTCAGTAGCAGAAATTTGGAAAAGAGATGATAAGCAGAATAATAAAATATTCAATTAGTGCTTCTTGAGCATTACATGCTGCCAGGCTTAAGATACAAACTGATTTAACTTTATTTGCCAATTAAGTTTCTTCTTAGAGTCTTACATGAACGTTGTGAAAACTTCATTTTTTTCCTTTGTCATCTGATGAAGTAGGCACACTGATGATCAGTATTAAGGTGTTCTTCTGCGATAACTTCTTACCTTTCATGGTACTGGTCTGTAATTGATGTGAAGAGAATCTTAGAGGCTAGAGCTTCCTGTTGTTCACTAACCCAAATTAGCTGTAGCTTCTTTTGGTTATAAGAGTAGAACAGAGGAATATAGAGCAATGATGTCTTCTGTCATTTAGAGACATTTTGGAGTTTTAGCATTTTGTGCAATTTAGTTCTATTTCGTTGACATTTCCAGATATAAAGTTAAAGTAGTACTTAACTATTATATTACTTGAAGGTAATTAGTGTGAATAATTTCTTCCAATACTCTCTATATAATTGAAGAGTGCCATTAGATTATATCTTGAATATAATGAGTAACATCTTTTTTTTTAGGGAGAAAAGGATGTTCTCAACAGGGGATATTCAGGTCTATTTAATTTCTCAAATATTTGTTCTTTCTCTGTAATGTGAAAAGAAAATTAACTGAAAAATGATTTGGAAAATATTGGCCTCCCTATCCAGGAGAGGTGTTAATAGGAAAGGAACAGATGGTTTTATATTTTGGTTATAATGATTTATCCTGGGGGATACATTATATATTCTTAAAGAAATGGAAAGTTTACATGAAAACTTAAAATATGCTAAACTATAAATAGGTTCATATGATATGCGTATTTAAAATGGAGAAAAGAAGTGGCTGGAGGCCATGCGCGCTGGCTTATGCCTGTCATCCCAGTACTTTGGCGGGCTGAGGTGGGTGGATCACTTGAGGACAGGAGTTCAAGACCAGCCTTGCCAATATGGTGTAACCCTGTCTCTACTAAAAATACAAAAATTAGCTGGACTTGGTGGTGCATGCCTGTAATCCCAGCTACTTGGGAGGCTGAGGTATGAGAATTGCTTGAATCTGGGAAGTGGAGGTTGCAGTTAGCCAAGATCACACCACTGCACTCCAGCCTGCGCAACAGAGCAAGACCTTGTCTCATTAAAAAAAAAAAGGAAGTGACTGTAAAGCAGTCTGACACATTTTTGTGCTTTTTAGAATTTCAGCTATCATCTGAAACTTGTGGCCGTACTTTGCAGTGAAGTTGCTTTCTCTAATAACAATTGTGGATGCCTTATGAATGGACAGATGTGCACGCACACACATACACATTTTGTTGATTTGGGGATTCTGAATACTTTGTTGTATAGGGTAAATTTGAAGACATTTTTGTCCTTCGGGTACCTTTTAAAACATTTCTTTTTTTTCCCCCTAAACAGTCTCAATCTGTTGCCCGGGCTGGAGTGCAGTGGCACAATCTCAGTTCATAGCAGCCTCCACCTCCTGGGTTCAAGCAATTCTCCCACCTCAGCCTCCCAAGTAGCTGGGACTACAGGGGTGGGCCACCACACCAGCTAATTTATATATATATGTATTCTTTTTGTAGAGATGGGGTTTCCCCACATTGGCCAGGCTGATCTCAAACTTCTGACCTCAAGTGATCCACCCGCCTCAGCCTCCCAAAGTGCTGGGATTTCAGGTGTGAGCCACTGCACCCAGCCTTTAAAACATTTCTAATAACCTTTTTCTTTTAGAATAGTTTTAAATTTATAGAAAATTTGCAAAGATAGGTCTCGTAGACCTCATACTCAGTTTCCCTTATTAACATCTTACATTGCTATGATGTATTTGCCACAGCTAATGAACCAGTATCGAGGTATTACTATTAACTAAAATTCGTACTAGACTCGAATTCCTTAATGTTTGCTAAGTATCCTTTTCCTGTACCAGGATGTCATTCAGGATACTGCATTATATTTAGATGTCATGTCTCCATGGCTCCTCTAGACTGTGACAGATCCTCTGACTTTGTTTTTCATGACTTTGACATAGTTAACTACGTTTTTAAATTAGTTAGGAGTCTCTCTGAGCCTACTCTGTCTTGGGAGGCTGCCTGATTTAAAAATTAAATCAATTAATAATTTAATGGAGAAAATGTCTCTTTTTAAGTATGTTTTTTTTTTAAAGCTAAAATTGTTTCTTTCCAAAAGGGCAAGACTGGGGAGTTAAATCAGCTTTTAAACGCAGTTAAGTCAATGCAGGAGAAGACAGTTGTGTTTCAACAGGAGAGAGACCAAGTCATGTTGGCCCTGAAACAAAAACAAATGGAAAACACTGCCCTACAGAATGAGGTACACTTTCACTTTAAAAGAATTACGAGTCAGACAATAAGTTTAATAACTATTAAGAGAACTGGAAAGCTGATCAATGAAAATGACTTTCTCTCTTAGGTGATTTTTCTTAGTCTTCCTTTGCTGTGCAGTAGTAGGATTTTAGTCTCCCACGGTGTATTTTTTTTCAGTCTTCAAAAGTGAAAACTGTGGCATATCTTGGGTATAAAAAAATTGCCCACCCATACAGTATGAAAAAAAATGACATTTGCTGAAAAAGTGGCCTGTCATAAAGAGTACTTTATACAATAGAGTGATTTGTATAATTCCATTTCCTATTATGGTCACAGGGAATAGGATTTTGCAAAGTAAAGCTTCCATTTAAATATTCAAGATGATTTTTTTCCTAGTATAAATGCGTTTTGCAGTGTGAGAGATTGGTATACAAATAATACACTTCAGTAATGGGGAAAAGATTTGATGACGAAGTGGTTTGTATCTGGGGAAAGGGAGCATTTTGTAGAAGAAAAATAATGTCCTCTACCTAGGTTCAACGTTTACGTGACAAAGAATTTCGGTCAAACCAGGAGCTAGAGAGATTGCGTAATCATCTTTTAGAATCGGAAGATTCTTATACCCGTGAAGCTTTGGCTGCAGAAGATAGAGAGGCTAAACTAAGAAAGAAAGTCACAGTATTGGAGGAAAAGCTAGTTTCATCCTCTAATGCGATGGAAAATGCAAGGTAATTTTTTTTTTTTGCATTAACTTTAACTGAACTCTTCTTGAATATCAGGCTCAGTAATTTTTGTATGTTAGCTCATCCTTGCAAAATTCATTATCTGTATTTTATGGATGAAGAAACTGAGGGTAAAGAGATTCAATAACCTCCCCAAGGTAGGCACACACACAGTATGTGTAGGGGTTTCACACTTGAGTCTGTGACTCTTAAGCAGATCTGACATTCAAACTGTCTGTATCTTGTTCATTACCTAGATCATTGCCTCTTACCATTTTAGGAGTACAGTTTGAAATGCTGACTGATTTTAATTGGCTCTGTCCAACTCCCAAAGAACTATTTATGTGGTTTTATTTTTCAATGAATGATCTAAAGTTGAGCAGGATGTGGATATTAGAAGGAAGATAGTAAAGGAAGTAGCAAAGTAAAGACCAAGGTCAGGAGGAAGAATTAACTGGGCTTATTAGAACTCTTGAGTGACCCCGGTCCCTGTTTATATATTTTAATTTCTCTCAATAAAATTTTTTTCTTTTTTTTTTTTTTGTTATAAAAACATTCTATTTTTCACTTTAGGAAAATCATACAAATCCAAAAGAACACAGTCTCACACACCCACAGATCATCTTTTTGTGTGCCTTTTTATACTTTTATGTCTGCGTGTATATATTGTATATCTTTTTTAAAGCAAAACAGATTATAATATTCAGTCTGTTTTATAACTTGTTTCTATCAATAATACAAATGGCAGTACATGTTAAACCATACATGTTTGCAATATTATATGGCCACATCATATGCCATTATTTGAATTTGCCATGATTAACCCAGTCATTTATTATTGGACATTTATTTTGTTTTAACTTTTCAAAATCACTGAGTGTTGACATGATATTCCAAGGCATGTATTTTGTGTTGATGACATTATTTCCTTAGTGTAAGTTTTGAGAAACAGAACTTCTAGATCAAGAACTTCTAGATCAAGATAAAAACTTCTGAGATTATATTGCCAAATTATTTTACAAAAAATTGTGTCAATTTATATTTCTTACTGGTATGTGCATCTTTTTATTTATCTTTTTATGATTTATGACACAAAAGGAGATAAAATGAGACAATAGATACTATCTATCTGCAAAGAGGTTATAGGCCAGTAGAGACAATATTCCTGAGGATGAACCCCCACCTTTGCAGAGGGTATTATTATACCTTCAGATTCAGCTGGAAAACTTGTTTAAAAAGGATACTAAAACTACTAGTGATCATTTGACTCTATGTTTCACTTTGGCGGAAATGCTGTAGCATTTTTTATTCTCATCCTTTTTTGTGTTTTTCAAGCCCTTATTTTTCTTAATGAAAATAGTTTCTAGTCCCTGCTCCTTTTATTTATTCTTCATAATTTCCAGAATAACCTTCCTTACATAGAGCTGTGATCCTGTTACTCCTTTTGTTCGAAAACTGGTCTTGATTCCAATGATGGTCCAAGGCTCCTACCACATTAGCCTTATTTAACATTGTCGGCTGCATCCAGCCAGACTGTATTACTCACTTTCTCAGATAGAGCCTCTGTTTTCCTATTCTTTTTTTTCTGCTTTTTCTTTTCATATGCCTTCTTCTGCTTGAAGAGTCAACCAGATTGGCAGCAAGTTTTCCTGTGAATCTTTATGTATATGTGTGTGTGTGTGTGTGTGTGTGTGTGTGTATATATATACACACATTTTTAAATTGCACTTTACCTGTGAATCTTGACTATTCTTCAAATCCATTTTCTCCTAAAGGGTGCTTTATTTAGCATCCCACTTTTCATATCCAAAAACAAACCTTCCCTGGTGTGATGTTTGTCCTTTGAACTTGCATAATACTTAGTTTGAGTCTTAAGTTTGAGGGCACTTATACTTTAATTTAGGGTACAGATAATTGTTGATATGTCCTATACTGTCTCCCACCAATGAAATGTAAAGTCACTGGGGGATAGAAATGGGGCCATTCATTTTCTACCCATCACACTGTATATATTACATATAGTTTAATGGCTACTCAGTAAATATTTGTAGTATCAGTAACTCAGATCTATAAACCTGATTATGGTGGTGTGATCTCTTACTTAAGAATAGTAACACCTGTTATTTATTATCTTTTTGAGTGCCATCATAGCTTATTTCATTCCTACAGTCACTCTTTAAGTGATTGTTAACCAGCGAAGTTGAATAATGTCTAGAGAGATTTGGCAGCAGAATTTAAGTCTTCTGATTACCAACTTAAATGCTCTTTCCACAAGAGGGTGCTAATGGATAAAGTCTTTTCAAAATGAGTTGATCTTAATGAGCTTTCATGGGCTGCTCTTGAGTAAGAATTTAACTGGAAATTAAAAATCCTGGGAGACTGGCGAAGTATTTTGAATATAATCATTATACATTAAGGAAGTACACCAGTGACATAAGCCTAGATGGGTGCTATATAAACCTCTTAGAAATCTGTGGAGTTAGAGTTAAGAGATTGTGTTTAATATAGTCAGAAAGAAAGATGATAATAAAAGATAACTAATATTCAGAGCAGATCATCAGTGGGATAGCCTTTGGAAAGTTGGGAGTTCACCACGAATGCAAGAGGGTCAAAGGCAAGGGAGTGTCATAGAATCCATTTTGTATTAAATTGGGAGATGGACAAAATGACTTCCAGGCTTCCTTATAAAACATTTCATGATAAATTACATCTTAGAGTTTTATCCTGGAAGCACAAAAATTATGGTGTATTTACTTGTACAGTTTTCTTTTTCTTTTATTTGTAGTTTTTAGAAACAAGGTCTCGCTCTGTTGCCCAGGCTAGAGTGCAGTAGTGTCATCATAGTTCAGTGCAGCCTCGTACTTCTGGGCTCCAACAGTCCTGTTGCCTTGGCCTCCCAAAGAGCTGGGATTACATGTGAGAGCCATCGCACTTGGCCTACATTTTTATTTTGCTGACTTTTCTTATTTAACTTAATTCTTAGTCTTTAAAAGGACTGCCATTTGTTCAAAGTCACTTTCACAGGAAGGATAATTGAATTTACAAAAACAGGGACAATAAGTAACAGAAGAACTCTTCAAGTTTCTTTAAAATTTAACTTGAATTTAATGCAATAAAATGTAGGGAAGATCAGATTCACAGAGATAGAAAATAGAATGGTAGTTTTCAAGGGAAAGGGGGTTACTATTTAATAGGTGTGGAGTTTCAGTTTGAGAAGGTGAGAAAAGTGCTGGAGAAGGATGGGGGTAGGTTGTACAACAGGTTAGTGCCACTGAACCATATACTTAGAACTGGTTAAAATGGTAAGTTTTATGTATATTTTACCAAAATAAAAAATGTAGGGAAGATGTTTCATCTTATTAAAGTATCTAAATACTTTGATATCTAACTTGAATTTAAAGCAATAAGAGGCAGGGCATGATGGCCCACACCTATAATCCCAGCACTTTGGGAGGCGGAGACAGGTGGATTACCTGAGGTGAGGAATTTGAGATCAGCCTGACCAACATGGTGAAACCCTGTCTCTACTAAAAATACAAAAATTGGTGGGGTGTGGTTGTGGGCACCTGTAATCCCAGCTACTCGGGAGGCTGAGGCAGGAGAGTTGCTTGAACCAGGGAAGCCGAGGTTGCAGTAAGCTGAGATTGGTGCCATTGCACTCCGAAGTGAGACTGTCTCAAGATAAAATAAATAAAATGCAATGAGATGTAGAGAAGGTGGTTTCTTCTTGTTAAAGTGTCTAAATAGATAGAAACAGTTTGACTTTTATTCTTTTTGTTTGAAGCCATCAAGCCAGTGTGCAGGTAGAGTCATTGCAAGAACAATTGAATGTGGTCTCCAAGCAAAGGGATGAAACTGCGCTGCAGCTTTCTGTTTCTCAGGAACAAGTAAAGCAGTATGCTCTGTCGCTGGCCAACCTGCAGATGGTACTAGAGCATTTCCAACAGGGTAAGCTCTACGGTCACTTTCAATGAAGAAAAATTGTAGGGAAATTTTGCCTAATTTGAGAGCTATTTTAGATGAGGCATGGGGAAATCTCTGAAAGGTTACCCTTTTAGAGGGTAGGGTAAGTAGCCATCAAAAAGTTAATTTAGACTCCTTTTACAATTAAGACGAGAAAACAAACTTTATTTAATAATTATTAAAGATTTGTTTTCCTATCCTCTTACCAGTGAGAGGTAAGAGTTGAGAAAATAATAAGGAAAGATGATCAAGTAATAAAGAGGAGAATACAACGAAAGAGAGATACGCACTTAGAAAGAATAGTTAAGTTTTAAGGTAATGGCTGGAGGTTGAACCTACTTGAGATAATCATCATTAATTACTGTTCTTTCAAATAGTGATTCACATGTTCATAGCTATTCGTCTATGCTTTGAGGTAACTACATTTTCTAGTCCATATGGAAGATACTTTTTTATAGACACAATAATAGTAACCAGAGCAGTTTTACCCTGAGAACCAAATAGACCTTCTCACATTCTACCTCCTATCTTTAGATTTACTCACTTTAGATCATTCATCCATCCATTTGTTTATTCGTGCATTCAGTAATTATTGACAGTAAATTAACTGCTAGTTGGGGGAGGTGATTAGGGGATATAAGAATGAGGAAGTAACGGAGGCTTTTAGTTTTGTGTCTAAGCAAAACTTTAAATTTGTCCTTTCAGACTTGAAATCTTAAATTTTAGATATAAGAATTGCCAGGCGTGGTGGCTCATGCCTGTAATCCCAGCACTTTGGGAGGCCAACGTGGGTGGATCACCTGAGGTCCGAATTCAAGACCAGCCTGGTCAGCATGATGAGACCCCATCTCTACTAAAAATACAGAAATTAGCTTGGCGTGGTGGCAGACACCTGTAATCCTAGCTACTTGCGAGGCTAAGGAAGGGAGAATTGCCTGAACCCAGGAGGCGGAGGTTGCAGTGAGCCAAGATCGCACCACTGCACTCCAGTCTGGGTGACAGAGTGAGAAACAAGAAAGAAGAAAAATTCTTAAGGTCTACTTTACAATATAATGTAATTATTAGAGTGGGTGTGTATACAAAGCAGTGTGGAACTGAGGCTATGGAGAAAGCATTGCCAAAGAGGAAATCGTTGAGTAGAGTTAGGAAGGGAGAGAAGAATCTCCAAGGTAGACAAGATGGAGAGGGTTTACACAGAGGGAAGTGATCTCATTACTTAAGTACCACTTAACATTACACTAAGGCATATATTGTTTTCTGTTTGAGACATCCACTGTTTTGGATTATTAAAATTTCAAATGGTTTAACATTCCAGTTTTATCACACAATTGCAAAATACTAATGTGACTTTCTGTTCTCTTTAGAGGAAAAGGCTATGTATTCTGCTGAACTCAAAAAGCACAAACAGTTTATAGCTGAATGGAAGAAAAAGGCAGAAAATCTGGAAGGAAAAGTGGTATCATTACAGGTAGGACAAAATAGTTTTCTCGTGTAGGTTTTCTTATTCATGAAACATTTACTTGTAGAGTCTTTGTCTTGGAAATAATCTCTTAAACTGTTCAGTTAGTACTTGAGTAGCTACCCTGAATCCAGCTCTCTGTTGCAGCCTGACAGTGAACAAGATACCCAGGATTTCCCTAAGGTGTTACTGTTTAGAGTAGACACAGCATATGTAAGATGATAATTTACATTTTTTGGCACACACAGGTATTTTAGAGATCTTTGGGGGAAAAAAGCATCCAAATTAATCTATAATTTTCACTTTACAATTTTCTCTTTTCAACAAAATTTACTGAGCACTCTATTTAACATGGATTTAAACAATATACATTATGCCATTAAATCTTTTTCTTTTGTATAATAGCATCATCCTTTAAAAGATTTTTCTATTACATACTGTACTTCATACATATAAACATTATATATAAGGAAAAATGAACTCCTGTGAAGAGATACAACACCAAAACAACTTGCTTTTAGATTTAGGAAAAACTTTTCTAAGTCATAAACAGACTGCAGTAGCTGGTAGAAAATGATAAAGTTCACTTACCTGGCATTAATGGAGGTAATCTTGCTGTTCTTAACATTAATGACTCAAGTAAGTGAAGATGTATGTCCTAATAAATTTTAACATTTTAATTGTTGAGTGGCTGCAAAGCAATTTAGATAATATGTATAAAATGTAAGACTAACAATGCAACAAATGCCCATATTCTCATCACCCAGTGTGAGAAATAAAACTTTTCTTTGAAGTTCTTTTTTTTTTTTTTTTTTTTTAGACGGAGTTTCGCTCTTGTTTACCCAGGCTGGAGTGCAATGGCCTGATCTCGGCTCACCGCAACCTCTGCCTCCTGGGTTCAGGCAATTCTCCTGCCTCAGCCTCCTGAGTAGCTGGGATTACAGGCATGTGCCACTATGTCCAGCTAATTTTTTGTATTTTTAGTAGAGACGGGGTTTCACCATGACCAGGATGGTCTCGATCTCTTGACCTCGTGATCCACCCGCCTCAGCCTCCCAAAGTGCTGGGATTACAGGTGTGAGCCACCGCGCCCAGCCCCTTTGAAGTTCTTTATGCACTCCTTCATATCCCATTCTTATCTTCCACCTTTTAGGGAACCACTATTCCAAAATGTTATGTTTATTACTTCCTCGTTTTGTTCTCTTTCTTTTTCTGCTTGTTTTCTTTATGGTTCTTATCACATAGATTTGAAGCTCCAAACAATCCATTGTTTGGTTTTGCATATTTTTGAAGTCTGTGTAAATGGAATTTGATCTATATGTAAATTCAGTGATTCTTCTGAGACTTGCTTTTGTTTTTTTTTTTTTTGAGATGGAGTTTTGCTCTTTTGCTCAGGCTGGAGTAAAGTGGCAGGATCTTGGCTCACTGCAACCTCTTTCCTTCCTGCCCCACCCCCCCAAAAGTTCAAGTGATTCTCCTGCCTCAGCCTCAAGAGTAGCTGGGATTACAGGCATCCACCACCATGCCTAGCTCATGTTTGTGTTTTTAGTAGATACAGGGTTTCACCATGTTGGGCAGGCTGGTCTTGAACTCCTGACCTTAGGTGATTCACCCACATTGGCCTCCCAAAGTGCTGGGATTACAGGTGTGAGCTGCTGCGCCCGGTTGAGATTTGCTTTTTTTTTAAAAAAAAACTTACGCGATTCAGTCATATTATTATTACTGTATATAAGTGGTTCATTATTTTCACTTCTGTATGCATTGCATGAATATATAATTTACCCATTTGTTAATAAAGGATATTTAAGATATCTTCAATATGTGCAAGAGTTTTTTTCAGGTGTATATCTTGATTGAAATTGGTGAGTTATAGAATATATATGGTCAACTTTAGCTTTATTAGATGATGCTTGTTTTCTGAAGTGATTGTGCTAATTTACTCCTACTAGCAGTTTACATGAGTTCTTGTTCTAATCCTTGTTAACACTTGACATTATCAGACTTTCAAAGTTTTTATTGATCTGATGGGTAGGAAAGTGTCTTAGCCCATTTTGTGCTGATGCAATAGAACACCACAAACCGAGTTATTTATAATGAACAGAAACTTAGTAGCTCACAGATTCTGGAAGCTGGGAAATCCAGGATTAAGGTGCCAGCAACTGGTAAGGACCTGCTTACTGCATCATCTCATGGCTGAGAGAGCAGGAGGGGGCCAAACTCTTCTTCTTGTAAGGAACCCACTCCCTTCATTATGAACCACTCTCACAATAAGGGCATTAATCTATTCATGAGGGTGGTGCCCCCATGAATCAGACACCTCCCATTAGGCCCTACCTCCCAATACTGCCACATTGGGAATCAGGTTTCCAGCACGTGAACTTTGGGGGCTACATTCAATCCATAGCAGAAGGGCTATCTTCCTGTGGTTTTAATTTGCATGTCCCTAATTACCAGTGAGGTCAAGCATCTTTTTTTTTTTTTTTTTTTTTTTTGAGACAGTCTCACTCTGTTGCCTGGCTGGAGTGTAGTCATGCGATCTTGGCTCACTGCAACTTCCGCCTTCTGGGTTCAAGCAATTCTCTTTCCTTAGCCTGCCGAGTAGCTGGGACTACAGGTGTGTGCCACCACTCCCAGCTAATTTTTATATTTTTAGTAGAGATGAGGCTTCACCAAGTTGGCCAAGCATCTTTTAATATGTTTATTGACCATTTATACTTACTTTCTTGTCATCTCATTAATACAAGATGAATTTTATCCAAATAGTAGTTTCTAGTGGATCCAGAGTATACAGTCTGTGGAACTGCTAGAATGGAAATCCAGATCTTTTCTTTTTTCTTAGAGACTGGTTCTTGCTTTGTTGTTCAGGCTGGTCTCAAGCTCCTGGGCTCATCCTCCTGTCTTGGCCTCCGAAAATGTTGGAATTACAGGCAAGAGCGTCTATTCCTGGCATTTTTTTCTTATTTTAATTAGAGATGAAATCTTGCTATATTTCTTGGGCTGGAATGCGGTATCTCTTCACAAATGTGATCATAATAGCACACTACAGCCTTGCATTCTGGGCTCAAGCAGTCCTCCTGCCTCATCTTCTTGACTAGCTGGGACTCTAGGCATGTGTCACAGCACCCAGCCAAATCTTCTTTTAAAACTGGTTTTATTTTTTTTAATGTAAAATGTAATACACATTTAAAAGAAGAACAAGACAAATGAGAAGAATGAATAAAAATAAAAACTGTAATTAATGAAATAAAAACCAAACTATTGGTAGAATAGCAAAATCTAAATGCTAATTTTGGAGAAGTCTAAGTGTAGATTTAAGCTCTAATAACTTTGTAAGTACAAATGCTGTGGGGTTAAAAACATCATTTTAAAGTTTAAGTTTCCTTCACACTAAATTTAGTTTTGTGGATTTTTGAATAGTAAATATTTTATTTAAATTGTTTAATTTAAGTCCCTCTATATATCAATCAGAGTTCAGTCCCTAAAGGCAAAATCAGTAGGGTGTGTATGTATATGTGTCAAATTTATATGTGTGATATATGTGGATACACATATGCAATTTATTACAGGGAATTGGCTACATGATTGTAGAGGCTGGCTAAGCAAGTCTGAAATTCGTAGGTTGGCAGTCAGGATGGGAACACCACATCAAAGGCAGGCTGGAACTCAGCAGGCGTGGGCCAAAGCTGTTGTCCACAGGCAGCCGGGAAAGGAAAGTCACAAGCAGTGTGGAACTCCATAGGCACAGGTGGAAGCTGTGGCTCAAAGAGGGAATTTCTTCTCTTTTAGGGGGAAGCCTAAACCCGGGCTTTTAAGAATTTTACAACTGGTTTAATCAGGCCCACCTAAATTATCCAGAATAACGTGCCTTTCTTAAATCCAGTTGATTAAGGACTTTGATTACATTTGCAAAATACCTTCACAGCAACATCTAGATTATATTTGATTGAATAACTGGGGACTGTGACTCATCCAAGATAACACATTGAAAAGGCTATCACACTGACTGAAGATGGCAAAACTTGACTTGAAATTTACATGGGAGAATACTTGAGAATAGCCAAAAAAAATTGTGAGAAATAATACAGTAAGGAGAGACCTGCCTACTAGATACCATGATAGAGTCATAAATTCATAGAATATTGACTAGATTTGTGGATTAATGAGAATCCAGAAATAGAGCCCAGGATATATTTGAGAAGTTGAAACTAAATCTTAAATTAGTTTAATGAGAAAAAGGATAGCTTATCTAATTAATGATGTTGACACAACCAGCTGTCCATAAGGAACAAAGGAAAAGAAAAAACAGACCCCATCTCCCAGCATGAACAAAAGTCACGTCTAGGTGTATTAAAGCAGAGACTCTCAACTGGGAGTGGTATTGATTATCTGGGGAAAGATGTCTCACCTGGCATTTATTGGACAAGGAATGTCAAAGCCACTCCCATTAAGAAACACCGTATTAAAGATTTAATTTTATTACAAAATATCTTGTAATAAAATCTGGAAGACAACATGTATATTCTAAGGGCAAAGAGGATCCTAACAAAGACCAAGACTTAAGAAGCTATAAAAACAAAGTAGAACATGTTTGATTATATACAATGTAAAATGTTTACATGGCAAAAGATATTGTAGAGTCAGTAGACAAATGGCAGATATGGTAACTATTTGCATAGCCAGGTTAAAAGTTTCTTATCTACTGTACAAGGTGCTCTTACAGATGGACAAGAGAAATACAGCTCAGTAGAAACTTGGGCAAAGAGGTTTTCACAGAAGGGCAGATCCAACTTGCCCTGTAAACATGAAAAGTAATGCTCGAATTCACTAGTAGTGGTCAGGGAAATAAAATTTAAAGTAACAAAGTCATAAGCATTGCTTTATTAGACTTTCAAAAATTCAAGAGAAACGCGGTGGCTCACGCCTGTAATCCCAGCACTTTGGGAGGCCTAGGCGGATGGATCACGAGGTCAAGAGATCGAGACCATCCTGGTCAACATGGTGAAACCCCGCCTCTACTAAAAATACAAAAATTAGCTGGGCATGGTGGTGCATGCCTATAATCCCAGCTACTCAGGAGGCTGAGGCAGGAGAATTGCCTGAACCCAGGAGGCGGAGGTTGTGGTGAGGCGAGATCGCACCATTGCTCTCCAGCCTGGGTAACAAGAGCGAAACTCAGTCTCAAAAAAAAAATAAATAAATAAAATTTTTAAAAAAGAACATTTGTTGCTATATTTCTGGACTTTTTGTTTTTTTCAAGTTTTATTTCTTATTGTTACTTTTTTTAAACTTCTGTCATGTTGTCTTTTAGTGGCATCTGCTCTTTTTATTTAGTTCCTCTAAATGAGGCAGTATTGTATTGAAAAGAATGTGGGTTCTGCCTTTGACACTTATTAGTTGGATGAATTTGCCTAAGGTCATAGAGGTGCAGCTTCACCAGCCTAAATGTAAAGGTTGACTCTAAAATGTCTCTAAGCCTTATAATTTGTGAAATAATTTTTGTATACTTTTTAATAAAGTTTATTTTCTCAGGAACGTTTGGATGAAGCAAATGCTGCATTGGATTCAGCATCAAGACTTACAGAACAGTTAGATCTAAAAGAAGAACAAATCGAAGAACTTAAAAAACAAAGTAGGCTTTTTTTCTTTTTGTTTTTTCTCCCACTACAATACTGATATAGAATCAAATGTAGTCGTTGGCCATAAATTGGCACAGTTGAGTGAGACCAACTTCACTGATGTGTGACTTCCATTTGCATCTTCCCTTACTGATTTGCTTAAGTGTGGTCCTAGTGAAACCATAAGTCTTTAAGTCGGCCTTGTCCAATTAGTTTTCCTGGATGTTGAGGCAATGCCATTGTGTTAGCTGTCACCCTGTTGACCATCAGAGGGCTTGACTGAACTGATTTGACTTTTTATGGATGTGATTTCTCCCTTATCAGTTCATGTGCATGCTGCCTAAAGCCATCCAATTTGTTAGGGCAGAATTCTCAAGTAAAGGAGTAACTTTCTATGGAATGAATGTCTAGGTATAACTAGATTTTTATGATTGTAGATGGTGTTTTACCACAGGCACATCATGTATTTTTTTATTATAAGGTGTCTCATATGCCCTGTCAACTCCCTAAGGTGTGTCATATGCTTAGGATTATTAATTGGTTCAATGATCAGGTGGCTTACAGGTCTTTGTTGAATCCAATAGCTGACAAAGATGGTGTATCCTCATTTCATCTCTAAGTTAGAGGCAACCAGGAAGTCAAAACTATTCTAGGGCTGCATTTAGTAGGTAATGATTCAAGATTATTGGAAAGGTAATAACAGAGCCTAGAATGCATCAACTCTAGATGTCTAGGTTAGGCACAATAGTAACAAGGCATGTAATTAAGAAATACATACCACCTAACATGAACTTAGAAATAAGCAAAAATAGAAGGAGATGGTACATCAGAGGAACTGTCAACAACGGAAGCAGTGACTTAGATACGAGGGAGGCAAGCAGGCCGGAGCCACTGAAGCATGGACATCAAAGAACAAGCCAAAGTAAGTTGACCTAAATCCAGCAGGAGACTGGAGAGGGGAGATTTTTAGGAATACAAAGAAGAAAAATAAGATAGGAAGTAATTGTCCTCAAAATGATTTGATTCTGAGGCAAGTTACTGCCCAACCAAAAGTCTTCTACCTTGTAAGACTTGGCCAGCCTAGAATCTCTAGATCTAGTCGAGGGCCTGGAAATGGACAGCAAGGAAACAATTACATATTGAGTGTCTGTTACAGACATTTAACATAACATGTATTTAGTTTTCTCATCATTTACTTTTTATAAGCATCTGTCAAATAGACGGTATAACTTCCATTTTCTAGATTAAAGACGCAAGATTTGAACTCCAGTCTTTTTACCTATTACCATAGTTCGTGATCTTTCTATGTAGTCCTATCAGGAAAATGGTTATAGTCTTACTTGTATTTTGTTCCATATATCTCCAATTTCCTCTGAAAATATGGTAGCATCTTCTGTATTGTCCTAAATGTTGAAATGGCTGCCTTTATCAAGAGGCAGTATTTATTTAGAAAACAGTCTAGTTAGATTGAAGGCCAGTGCAACTACAGCATTATCTGGAAGTTCTATGGGCAACTGAGAGGAGACACACTGGGAATTGGTATCTTAGGGTTGGGCTAAACTAATGGAGGTGAAACAGCAGTATTGTGAACCAACTCATTGGGTTGTGGCAACTCAATGCTATATGTTATGCTACTGTAATATCTAAGGCAACATCCTTTTTTTTTTTTTTCTTTTTTTGAGACGGAGTTTTACTCTTGTTACCCAGGCTGGAGTGCAATGGCGCGATCTCAGCTCACTGCAACCTCTGCCTCCTGGTTCAGGTAATTCTCCTGCCTCAGCCTCCTGAGTAGCTGGGATTACAGGCACGCGCCACCATGCCCAGCTAATTTTTTGTATTTTTAGTAGAGACGGGGTTTCACCATGTTGACCAGGATGGTCTCGATCTCTTGACCTCATGATCCACCTGCCTCGGCCTCCCAAAGTGCTGGGATTACAGGCGTGAGCCACTGCACCCGGCCTAACATCCTCTTTTAGACACCTATCTGAGTCATTCCCAATAGTTGATGGTAAATGTAAAATTCTATGATTTATTATAGTGAATAAATATTATCCGAGTTCTTGAAGTACAGGTTGAGCATCCCTAATCCAAAGTGCAAAGTGCTCCAAATTCTTAAAACTTTTTGAATGCTGAGATGATGCTCAAAGGAAATGGTTATTGGAGCATTTTGGATTTTGGATTTTTGGATTAGGGATGCTCAGCTGGTAGTACTGTAATATAGACATTCCAAAGTTTGAGAAATCCAAAATCTGAAACACTTCTGGTTCCAGGCATTTTGGATAAGGGATACTCAGCCTGTATTTAGTACTTGTTGAGGCTCTCATTTAAGCTCCCACTAGTAGAATATTTTCAGATGTTCTTGATTATAGATGATAAGGCTTAGGTAGCCTAGGTTTCTGTTATGTAAAAAATATTAATCATTGTGAATGTATAGGAACTCTGGACTCATTTTGTGGAATCGATATTAGCTACAGAGAAAGCTCTGATTATGCTTGTACAACTGGTATTTGAAAGGGCAGGCAAGAGGCCAGTGTTGCACAGACAGGACGGGGTGTAAAGAGGCAGTTGGTTCTGTTATGTCTCTAAGTTATTCTTGCCATTTTCAGCTCTTCTTAATTTTTTTTCTCATATTACCTAACTGCTTTAATATTACTTTTATATCTCTAAATACAAATGCAATTTTATTTTCTCAAAGCTGCACTTTTGATTCAATAATATAAACAAAACTTTGATTGGTTTACTTGTTTCAAAAGAATAGCTGTATATTTTCTCTCCTAGATCATTAAGTACTTTAAATGTTGATTGATGTTGTAATACTGTACTTTATTTTTAACACAAAACTTGGCCAGACAGCAAAAATATTTGCCAGGAGAAACACTTTTGAAAAAGACAGATTGGCTTTTGTTGGAAGAAAGTACACGGAGACTTGAATTGTAAAGGCAAAGTATTGTTTTACTTCTAAGCATCTATAGACTAATGATTAGTTGATATACAGTTTCAACATTTAAACAATATTAGGAAACTCACTTTTAAAAGTATTATATTCAAAATGGTTGATTATGTCATTGCTACCAGAGATGAGATGATTCAGTCTAGTCAAACATATGAAAAAGAAAGCTGTTGCAAACAGTGCCAATATTGAAACAGTAGACTGTGATACTTTCAGTCATTTCTTAGAGTATGTATGTGCATCTGTGGTTATGAATTAAGAGTATTTTCAGGCCTTGTTTGAAAAGTATGAAGACACATGCTTATCAGACACTAAGTATTTAATGAGAACCAACTGCTTGGCTTCCTGTTAGGTGCTGTATGAGATGCTAGATAGTATCCCTTTCCAAGGAGTTTAGCTAAGGAAATGACACATACTGTAGATACTCCATAGGTTAGTAATTTAAGACAGTGATGCACAACAGTGATCATAAGACAGTGCATATTTAGTTCCTCCAGAATCCCATGAAGGGTCAGGCAGCATTCCATGGAGAAAAGGAACTTGAGTAAAGACTTGAACCAGTAGTAGGGAACTGTTTAAATCTTTCTCCCTGTCTCCCTCCCCGTCTATCCCTCTTCCTGGGAAAGTAACAATGAAAATAAATCCTAAGATCCTAAGAGTACTAGAGTTTAATAGATAATGTTGGCTGGTAAAAGAATTATTGCTATCCTTCCTTTTAGAAATTATTCTTTTAGCATTTTACCTGAAAGTGTTCTTCAATACGGTTCCAAGGACTGACTTCACATGCCATCCCATATCCAAACTCAGTATAGTGGCCTATGAAGCACATATGACAGTGTTTTCCATTAATTATTCAGAGTTGATCAGAGTTCAGAATTTCTGTGGAATTATTACTGATGAGAAAATATTCACCTGTGACTGAAACATTAATATGTGTTGTGTTGTGATATTTATGGTAAGATTTGACATTTTTCCTTTCCATCTTGTTCTCTACCATCATCCTTGACATAAATTCCTGCTTAAATGAAAATGATTTGGTTGAGCGTGGTGGCTCACGCCTGTAATCCCAGCACTTTGGGAGGCTGAGGTGAGTGGATCACCTGAGGTCAGGAGTTCAAGACCAGCCTGGCCGACATGGTGAAATGCTGTCTCTACTAAAATTATAAAAATTAGCCAGGTATGGTAGCTCATGCCTGTAATCCCAGCTACTCAGGAGGCTGAGCCACAAGAACCACCTGATCCCGGGAGGTGTAGGTTGCACTGAGTTGAGATTATGCCACTGTACTCCAGCATGGGCAAGAGAGTGAGACTCCATCTCAAAAACAAAAAAAAATGATTGGACAAATTGAAATAGCACAAGATAGTGGTTATTTTGATAACTGATTCAGAAGGGTGGTGAATTTTACAGTGTGGGAAGAAAAGTGAGTTTTTGTAAGCAATACAAAGATCTTTTGTTGTGTCTGCTAGTTTATACCTGTATCTGAAAGGGGGACATAACTGATTTTTTTTTTTTTTTTTTTGAGACAGAGTTTTGCTCTCGTTGCCCAGGCTGGAGTGCAGTGGTGTGATCTCAGCTCACTACAACCTCCACCTCCCGGTTCAAGAGATTTTCCTGCCTTAGGCTCCCGAGTAGCTGGCATTAGTGTCCACCACTATGCCCAACTAATTTTTTTTTTAATTTTTAGTAGAGACGGGATTTCACCATGTTGGCCAGGCTGGTCTCAAACTCCTGACCCCAGGTGATCCACCCACCTGGCCTCCCAGAGTGCTGGGATTACAGGTGTGAGCCACCGTGCCTGGACGATTTTTTTTTTTTTTAAAGAAGATTTAATTACTGCTTTTAAAAGTCTCCTATGAGTTCAGAATGGAAAATTTCCTTAGACCATTTTTTAAAAGAAAATCTAGAAGAATGTATAAAATAGTCCCAGTTAAACTTGCTGTAATATGAAGCATAAAATCATGTTTTAAAACTACAGATATAAATGAAGCTTAAAATGTTTTTCATGGAACTACCTTTACAGTGCTGGATGGTAAAGTTTTTATTTTAAATACGGACATTCTGTTTTTCCAGGACATGATTTATACAAGAAAACATATAATGTCCCGTTGAACAGAAGCCAAATACATTCCCAGACGCTTTGTTACCCAAACCTTTTGAGGGATTTCTTTATAGATGTTTTTGGCAGAACTGGTGATTTTAGAGGAAACATATAAGAAGTACCAGATGCAGTTTTCTGAATTGCCATAAATGGTTAAAAAATTGTGATGATATAAACATCTGGGTATACTAGACAATGCCAAAATGTGAGTTAAGAAAAAAGTGTATGTTAATTAGATAAATAATTAAACCTTTTTCAACTTAGAGATCATATTTGAAAATGTAAGTCACCCTAATATTAATATCTAAACTAAGCCTCATTTTAGAAATTATAGTTTAAAGAAAAATTCCTCTAAGTGTAAAGGGAAAGTACATGCTGTAGCAATAAGAATGTTTTGAGTTAATGTGTTTTGTGTACTTGCCCTTATTTCTTTATGCATAGGTGAGTACATAATTCAGATCATAAAAGTATTTGTTCTTTTTGTCCAGTGTTCTTTGCAGATATTCTCTTTTCCCAGATAAAAATCAATCAGTCGTTGACTTATTTCTCAAATGTTCATTGTTTATTTGCTGTGTGCTAAGCACTGCAGTAGGCACTAAAGATCCAAAGACAGGAGACAAGGGTCCTGCCTTCAGGAGATTTACAGTCAGGCAGGAAGGGAAGACGACACACATCAAATACATGCAACACATTTTTAGAAAGGAAAGAGCTATCCTTTCTACTTGCTGTTAGTAGCATGGAAGGGTAGAAAAGGCTAGTGAAGGCTTTACTTGAACTTGAATGATTGATCAATTGAAGAGTGTTTCTTGTGGAGGCAATAGATTCTCTGCTCCACCCAGCTGCTGCCATGCAGGAATGTGGGCCCAGTGTTGCCATGTCTTCAGATCTTTCAAGAGATACTGGAAATCTGCTTTTTTTTTTTTTTTTTTTTTTTTTTGTGAAATATCCCATTGAAAAAAAATTGATTTCAACTTGTGTATTCAGGGTACATGTACAGGTTATTACATGAGTATACTGCATGACACTGAACTTTGGGGTGCAGATGATCTTGTTACCCCGGTAGTACGCATAATACACATTATGTTGTTTTTCAGTTCTTGTTCCCCTCCCTCTCCTCTCCCTCTGGTAGTCTCCAGTGTCTACTGTTTCCATCTTTATGTCCATATGTACCCAATGTTTGGCTCCTACCTGTAAGTAAGAAAATGGGTAACACTTTTAAAATTAAATAGATATTCAGTCTCACATGCCAGAGGAGTAAAAATTAAATATATAATCACTCATAATATTTACTCTTTCTAAAAAGATTAGTTCTGTTTCAGTATGGAGAAAATACAGTACAGATTATCTGAATTCATAATAAAGGGTTGAGGGAGGAGAATGGAGAGGAGAAATAAATTTGATTCGGTTACATTAAAAATACTTATATAAAATATGGCCAGGTGCAGTAGCTCACACCTGTAATCCCAGCACTTTGGGAGGCCGAGGTGGGTGGATCACCTGAGGTCAGGAGTTCAAGACCAGCCTGTCCAACATGGTGAAACCCGGTCTCTACTAAAAATACAAAAATTGGCCAGGTGTGGTGGCACACGTCTGTAACTCCAGCTACTTGGGAGGCTGAGGCAGAAGAATTACTTGAACATGGGAGACGGAGGTTGCAGTGAGCCGAGATCACGCCACTGCACTTCATCCTGGGCAAGAGAGCCAGACTCCTTCAAAAAAAAAAAAAAGGCCACGGGGAGGCAGGGAGAGGTCCGGTAGGGGAGAGAAAGGGGCCTGGGTCTGGGCTTCGGGAGTAATTTCGCTTCGGCCCACGGGCCTCCTCCCTCTCTGCCACCTGCCTTCCTCCCCCACACCCCACCCCCAATGCTGCTCTGTGCCTGCCGCTCCCGAAAAGCCTTGGACATTGACGGCAGCGACGGCCACTGCGAGTATCTGCAGCAACAGCACGGAAATGGTGCGGTGGCGGCAGCAACCCAGGAGGGCAGCAACTCAGCCGTCACCCCTCGCTCTGCTGGCCACTACCTGCAGCAAGATAGGGCTGCCATCGCCTGGCAACCACGAGGAGGAGTTGGCCGCCGCCGGAGCGGCAGGTGATTTGGCTTTTGCACATTTAGGAGGAGCACCAAACCGATGGGAGGTTTTGTCAGCCACACCGACAACTATAAAAGATGAAGCTGGTAATCTAGTACAGATTCCAAGTGCCACTGCTTCAAGTGGGCAGAATTTGCAGAATCAACAAATATTTTCGGTTGCACCAGGATCAGATTCATCAAATGGTACAGTGTCCAATGTTCAATTTCAAGTAATACCACAGATTCCGTCAACAGATGGTCAGCAGTTCAAAGTGGTTTCACAGGCTCTTCAGATAATGGGGGTATAAATCAAGAAAGCAGTCAAATTCCTATCATTCCTCGCTCTAATCAAACCTTACTTGCCTCTGGAACACCTCCTGCTAACATCCAGAATCTCATACCTCAGACTGGTCAAGTCCAGTTTCAGGGAGTTGCAACTGGTGGTTCATCTTTTCCTGGTCAAACCCAAGTAGTTGCTAATGTGCCTCTTGGTCTGCCAGGAAATATTATGTTTGTACCAATCAATAGTGTCAATCAAGATTCTTTGGGACTCTTGGGCAGTTCTCATATAATGACTGCAGGCATTAATGCTGATGGACATTTGATAAACACAGGGCAAGCTATGGATAGTTTAGAAAATTCAGAAAGGACTGTTGAGTGGGTTTCTCCTGATATTAATGAAACTAATACTGATACAGATTTATTTGTGCTAATATCCTCTTCATCACAGTTGCGTGTTATGATAGACAGTACAGGTATATTACAACAAAACACAAATAACTTGACTACATCTAGTGGGCCAGTTCATTCTTCAGATCTTCAGGGAAATTATATCCAGTCACCAGTTTCTGAAGAGACACAGGCACAGAATGTTCGGGTTTCTACAGCACAGCCTGTTGTACATCTATAACTTCAACGAGTCCCAGCAGCCAACCAGTCAAGCCCAAATTGTGCAAGGTATTACACCACAGACAATCCATGGTGTGCAAGCCAGTGGCCAAAATATGTCACAACAAGCTTTGCAGAATCTTCGGTTGCAGCTGAATCCTGGAACCTTTTTAATTCAGGCACTGACAGTGACCCCTTCTGGACAGATAACTCGGCAAACGTTTCAAGTACAAGGGAGTCCGGAACTTGCAAAATTTGCAAATACAGCATACTGCTGCCCAACAAATAACTTTAATGCCTGTTCATTCACACTTGGTCAAGTTGCGGCAGGTGGAGCCTTCACTTCCACTCCAGTTAGTCTAAGCACTGGTCGGTAGCCAAATCTACAGACAGTTACAGTGAACTCTATAGATTCTACTGGTAGACAGCTGCATCCAGGAGAGAATGCTGACAGTCCTGCAGGTATTAGGATCAAGGAAGGAGAACCTGATCCTGAACAGTGGCAGCTCAGTGGTAATTCTACCTTGAATACCAATGGCCTAACACACTTAAGAGTACAAGTGGTAGAAGAAGAAGGGCACCAACAACATCAAGAAGGAAAAAGACTTCGGAGGGTAGCTTGCACTTGTCCTAACTGTAAAGAAGGTGATGGGAGAGCTACCAATCTTGGGAAAAACAAGCAACACATTTGTCATATACCAGGATGTGGTAAAGTCAATGGGAAGACCTCACATCTGAGAGCTCCTCTGCGTTGGCATTCTGGAGAACACCCTTTTGTTTGTAACTGGATGTACTGTGCTAAAAGATTTACTCGAAGTGATGAATTACAGAGGCACAGAAGAACACATACAGGTGAGAAGAAATTTGTCCAGAATGTTCAAAATGCTTTATGAGAAGTGACCACCTTTCCAAACATATTAAAACACAGCAGAATAAAAAAGGTATTCACTCTAGCAGTACAGTGCTGGCATCTGTGGAAGCTGTGTGAGATAATACTTTGGTTACTGCAGGAGGAACAACACTTACCCTTGCCAGATTTCAACAAGGTTCTGTTTCAGGGATAAGAACTGTTAATACTTTGGCTGCCAGCAATCAAGATATCCTTACCAACACTGAAATACCTTTACAGCTTGTCACAGTTTCTGGAAATGAGACAGTGGCGTAAATATTACACAAATACTTATTCATTGTGGTTATTTTTATACAGTAGTAAGAAGAATATTGTTCCTAAGTTCTTAGATATCTTTTTATTGATGTGCAGAAATTTTTGAATCTACAGTAACTTGGTTATACATGACACTGAAATGCCTTACTTTGCGCGATATTCCATAGTATATTAAAAATGGTAAAATTGCATGGCTTTTGTAGGTACTTTTGGAATCTAGAAGAAGTGAAATTTTACCAAGTTATATTAAAGAGAAAATGGAATTTAACAATGCGAATGGTAGTCTAACCAAATGCATCAATCCTGTGTGGTTTAGTGTAAAAATAAGAACATGTTGGTATTTATCTATTGTAAGATAAAAAAGCTGGTGAGTGAAAGAAATCATGATATGATAAAAAATATTGTAATTTCCTTGATGACTGGAATTTTTATTATGCATAACTGACAAATCAAGTTTCCAAGCAAATGTTACATAGTGTAGGCTTTACTTAGCTTATCAATTTGTCATTTTGAAGCTAATTATTTTAATTAGGTTAACTGTATACACTATTTTAAGCGCATTACTCTTGTAAGATTTTGAAAACTACATTTTAACATGGAATCCTGTTGAAAAGCCATGTTTAAGATTTAATTTGCCAAAATAATGTCTTGTTAATATTCTTTCAGTAATGAAGTTGGGCAATATAACCAATGTTTTAAAAAGTTTAAAATGTATAGGTTGAGGCATTTGGGTGGTAAGAAAATGTTACAGTGAATTATCCCTTTTCTGGACTGTTGAAGGACCAAAAAAAATAAGGTGTATTTCGTCTTAGAAGTGATTTTTATCCAATCTTGTTTCCAAAAACCATATGTCTCCCAGGGCCTTAAAAGCCATCATGTAAATTACCAGTAAACTATAACATATGCACATATAACAAAATCAATTCCATGGTGACACTACTCCAACCATATGGATATTAGTCTTAGAAAAACTAGAGGTTTTATGACTTTTTAAGTCTTTTTTTTTTTTGGTCTAGGTAGTCAGTCTGCACTTGAATAAGCATCATTTTCCTTTTTGCTTCTTCCCTTAAAATTTATGTGTATCCAGTACATTTAATTGAGAAACATATGTTTTTTATTATGCTGTATTTTTATTTTTTAATTATTGTTTATATTTTCAATTTAAAAATGTACAAAATAAAGTTACATTGCTGGTCTTGTAAAAAAAAATGTGTATACACACACATACACACACACACACGTATTTATATAAAATCAAGTGTACATAATAACTCCAATGAATAATCCAAATTTGGTCTACAAATAATCCAGTAGACCTCAACCAATCACAGATTCTGATCTAGTGGAATTCAGATTAATGAGGTTATTATACTATATTAATAAAATTATTTTTCTGTGAGTTCATTGCTAAGAAGTAGAAGTTTATTTTTATTTTTCAGAGACAAGGTCTTATTATTATTATTTTGTAGAGATAGGGTCTCTCTATGTTGCTCAGGCTGGTCTTGAACTCCTGGCCTCAAATGATCTTTCTGCCTTGGCTTCCCAGGCATGAACAACTAGGCCTGGCCTAGAATTTTAAAAGCTACTTTTCACTCAACAATGAACAATTATAATAATGGGACAATAAAACATTTACCATATGCTCTAGACCTTCAAATTCTGTGTCAGATATAGTTGAAAATTGAGCTAAAAGACAAAGCAGGGCCAGGTGCAGTGGCTCATGCCTGTTATCCCAGCACTTTGGGAGGCCAAGGCAGATAGATAGTTGAGGTCAGGAGTGTGAGACCAGCTTGACCAACATGGTGAAACCCTGTCTCTACTAAAAATACAAAAAAATTAGCCAGATGTGGTGGCACATGCCTATAATCCCAGCTGCTCAGCAGGCTGAGGCATGAGAATCACTTGAACCTGGAAGGCAGAGGTTGCAGTGAGCAGAGATTGTGCCACTGCACTCCAGCCTGGGTGATAGAGTGACTCTGTCTTTAAAAAAAAAAAGCAGATGCTTATAAAGCTTAATCTCAAATTGCAACTATATATGGTATCTTTTAAAAACATATATTATTTGGGCCGGTATGGTGGCTCATACCTTAATCCCAGCATTTCTGGAGGCTGAGGTGGGTGGATCACTTGAGGTCAGGAATTCAAGACCAGCCTGGCCAACATGGTGAAACCCTGTCTCTACTAAAAATACAAAAATCAGCCAGGCCTGGAGGCAGGTGCCTGCAATCTCAGCTACTCAGGAGGCTGAGGCAGGAGAATTGCTTGAACCTGGAAGGCAGAGGTTTCATTGAACTGGGGCACCACCATACTCCAGCCTGGGTGACAGATTGAGACTCTGTCTCAAAAAAATGAAAATAAAAATTAAAAAAATAGATATATATATAATTTGATGCTAAAAGTGGTCTTATGTAACTTGAAATTCTGTAATAAAAAAGATCTAATTTCTAGCTTTGATTATATTTAATTAAATGAAGAGGTTAAATTTCCTTATTAGGTTTAATATTGATATAATATTAAATATAATATTAAATCTATATCAGATTTAATATATTATAGATTTAAATTTTTAAGGCATCTGGATGCAAATATGATATCGGATGCAATTTGACACATACGCATATATTTGTGAAATCTAGCAGTTTTTTCTTCCTTGACTCCTTGGCCTCAAAGATGACAAACATGCAAAATGGAGCAGGGAGCCTCACAAAATATTAACATTAAACAATAATATATGTGATACTGATTCAGGCTAGATTGAAATACGAACTTTTTAGTTATAAGAAATTAAATAAGTACTAATGCTTTATATGGCACTTAACTGTTTAGAAAAGTCACATTTGATCATTCGGTTGATACTCTCAAATCCTTTGAGATAAGCATGTTCATTTTACAAAACAGGCAACAAAGTCTGGCCCTGGTGATAGGACCATGATTCATATCCACTTCTGACTCTGAAGGTCTTTGTTGTGTTTTTTTTTTCTCAGTCAGGTGACTATTCAGCTAATCTGACTTGGATCTTGCCTACAGGAACTTAGTCATGAAATGTCCAAATGACTTTGTAAGCGGTATGATTCACTTTAAGATGTAGTATGATTCATTTTAAGATGTTTTCTGAAGGGAGTATTATAGTATACTGTCATTAATTACAAACGAAATGTAAAATTATGATGTGCCAATTTGCTGTAATCAATTTTTTCTTCAAACCAAATGTTGAAGACCATGGCACCATCTTTGGTGTTCAAGAGAAGAGACTCTGCTATGGCAAGTTTTACTATGTCATAGATACAGGCAGAGTAACTCTTTCTCCAAACTAGACTAAATCTTGGTTGCTTTATTGCTGAGCTTTTAATGTGCCCCCCTCCACCTATTTTTTTTTCTTTACTTCCAAAAAATTACTTTGGCATGTGAGATTATTTCACAGAAATATTTTATTTGACTTAAAACTCATTTCTGAATAACCATATTTTGCCTGCCCATATAAATACAGTTCTGATTTCAAATTGTGGTTTGAATTTGAGTTTAGTTTTTGTAGAGAAATATTCAGAATCTCTGATGGGAGGGAAATAAGGGTTCCTGGAGAAGAAGAGGCATCGGTGGGGACCTTTGTAGTAGGTGTTTGACTATTTTTTCCTTTCCAAACCCCTCATAGTTAATACCATCCTTCTAGCCTTGCCCTTTAAATTCTGAGTTTTTCCCCTAGACTCAAACATCAGAATATATTTTAACTATTGCTTGAATTTGCAGCAGCCCTTTGCATTCCACATCACATTGTCTCAGTGACAAACTGCATGCTCTGATAGTTTAGGAAATTTTAACCTTGTCATTTTCATCTTACGGATGTTTTGACTCTACGTTTCTGAATACAGAGACTTTAATAAAAATTATGTCAATCTTGATGAGTTTTCATCAAAAAAGTATTTTTGATTTGGACTTTTACGCAGTTTGATTTCTTGATCAGGTTTTCATAGAGCAAAGTTAAAATTTTCTACTTTATTTTACTAAAATGTTTAGCCAGCTGAGCTCTGCTTTGTGAATTTTACTCTGAAGATGTCTGTCATTACACTTTCTTTCTCTCTCTCTCTCTCTCTCTCTCTCTCTCTCTTTTTTTTTGGAGACTGGATCTTGCACTGTTGCCCAGGCTGGAGTACAGTGGCGTGACCTCAGCTCACTGTAATCTCTGCCTCCTAGGCTCAAGCAGTCCTTCTGCCTCAGCCTCCTAAGTAGCTGGAACTACAGGTTCATGCCACTACACCTGGCTAATTTTTGTATTTCTTGTAGAGACAGGGTTTTGCTGTGTTGCCCAGGCTGGTCTCAAACTCCTGAACTCAAGCAATACACCTATCTCGGCCTCCCAAAGTGCTGAGACTACAAGCGTGAGCAACCTCGCCCAGCCTCTTTTTTTAAATAAGAGACAGTATAGTGTAATATTATATTCTGGTTATGTTCTAAAGCAGTGGTGTCCTGTGGGAGTATACTGTGAGCCACGTGTAATTTTAAACGTTTTAGTGGCCATGTTAAGACAATAAAAAGCGATAGCTGAAATTAAGTTTCATGTAAGGACCGGCACAGTGGCTCACACTTGTGATCCCAACATTTTGGAAGACTATGGCAGAATTATTTGAACGCAGGAGTTTGAGACCAGCCCAGGCAACATTGTGAGACCCTAGCTCTACAAAAAGTTAAAAATTAGCTGGTTGTGGTGGTGCACACTAGCTGTTTCCTGAGGCTGAGGCAGGAGGATGGCTTGAGCCTAGGAGTTTGAGGCTGCAGTGAGCTGTGATCATGCCACAGCCTGGGCACCTGTCTCAAATACATATACACACACACACATATTTTTATATAGCCCAGTATAACCAAATTGTTATCATATAGACATGTAATCAATGTACAAATTAATTTTAGAGGAAAGTAGGTGGGAGAAGGGAAATCTCAGAGAAAGGAAAGGTGGGGGTTGGGGGCACGGTAGCTAAGTTTGGTCTCTGTTTCTCTGCTTTCTTTTTTTTTTTCTTTCTCTTCTTTCTTTTCTTTCTTTCAAGATGGAGTTTCACTCTTATTGCCCAGGCTGGAGTACAATGGCATGATCTTGGCTTGACACAACCTCCACCTCCTGGATTCAAGCGATTATTTTGCCTCAGGCTCCCATGTAGCTGTAATTACAGGCATGCGCCACCATGCCTGGCTAAGTGTGTATTTTTAATAGAGACAGCGTTTCTCCATGTTGGTTAGGCTGGTCTTGAACTCTTAACCTCAGGTGACCCACCCACCTCAGCCTTCCAAAGTGCTGGGATTACAGGCGTGAGCCACCACGCCCAGCTGTCCTCTATCTTTTTGTAGCCTTGGGGAGGAATGGAGGAGGAAGGAGAAGATCATGCTCATCTGTCTCCTACTTTAGTTTGTGAGGGAAATGGTTAAGTCAAAACAGGGACAAGAGATTAACTTACTTGCTGAGTTCTATTTCCATTGAGAATGTTGTGGTAGAAAAGGCCCAGATAACACCATGTGCTAGTAGTATACATGTGCACATTAGGAATCTAAAGTGTCTTTTACTGACTCAGACTTTAATAATAGTCCTGTCTACCCCTACCTTTTCTCTCTCTCTCTCTCTCTCTCTCTCTCTCCCCCCCCTCCCCCCCACCCCCCCTCCTCTTTCTCCCTCTCTCGTCCAAGTTTAAATTCCTTACTGGAAAGACAGGAAAGGAAAAGTGTAGTAGATTTTCCAAATACAAACCTTGCTTTTATAATATGGTTATGGCAACCATCTCTATTTTGGTAAAATTGGCCTATTACATGAATGACATTTTGCAAGTTAGATTTTTGCAATTTAGGAAAACCATAAGCCATCGTAAACAGTTAAACAAGATATTTTATATATGACTTTAGTACCATAAATCATAATTTTGGGCATTGTACAGAGAAGAATGAAAACATAAAGCAAACAGACCTGGCCTAATCTCTAAGGCTCAGAGGAAAATTCTTTAAGAAAGTGAGTTGGAAACACACATGAAAGGTGAATAGGAGTTAATAGGTAGTACTGATGGAAAAGAGCTTTCCAGGCAGGAAAAAAAAGACAAAACATTTGGAGAATTCTTACAATGGGAATTTAGAGTCTAGAAATATACCATACATTTATGGTCAATTGATTTCCAACAAGGGTGCCAAAAGAATAGTTTCTTCACCATATAATGCTGGAACAATTAGATATCCATGTGCAAAAGAATGAAGTTGGACCCCTACCTCACACCATGCACAAAAATTAACTCAAAATGGATAGTAGACCTAAATTTTAGAGTTAAAACCATAAAAGGCTTAAAACATAGGTGTTGGGTTAGGTATAGTTTCTTAGATATGATAACAAAAGCACAAGCAACAAAAAAAGTACATTGGACTTCATAAAAATGGAAAACTTTTGCTTTAAAAGATATCATCAGGAAAGTGAGATGACAACTCACAGAATGGGGAAAAAAATGTAAGTCATATCTGATAAAGGAAGTTGTATCCAGTTACTACTAGGAAAATGCGGCATAATCCAAAGAAAAAGTCTGTGGCAGAGTCTAGCATTTGGATGTGAATGTTTCTAGATAGAGCTCTCCTCTTCATTTCTTTCAGAACAAAAACTTATAATCTAGCTTAAAATTAATGAGCATCTCTTTCAGCTCAAAGTATTCATTTCTGGTGTAACAGGTATAAACTTTATGTTTGACTCAGAGTCTCTTAGTCCAGAAATTCTTGCCCTGTGGCATGGCTTTTTATAAACAGGGTATCTCTTGTTGTAATTCTAGACTTTACCTTTAATACTGCTTAAATTCCAACTATTCCACCAAGATTTTATGGATTTAGCTTCCTTTTTAAAGAATAATTTAAAAATAAAATAGTCTAGGCATCCTTCTAAGTCAGTCATAAGCTGTAGTATCTTGATTTTTATATTAGAGCTGATTGCCTAAATTATATTTTGCAATTTCCGTACCCCCCAGAATAGTTTGCCCTATCAGCTACATCCTGAGCCATGGTCTTAGTTGTGTTAGATACATTTCTTAGCTCACCAAAAACAGAGTCTGGCCAGGAAAATAGAAAAAGGAAAATATTAAATTGTCCTTTCCACTTCCTCCCATTAGAGTGGCTCTGGAAATGTTTCATGCAAGGAGGCAGTGATGAAAATCTCTTCTTTGCTATTAAGTTTTTAAAAAAGATAAAAACCTTTCTTAGTTTTTCAGTGTTCTATTGCAGAGTTGATTACTTTCTTGGGAGTAAACCATGTGAATTAATGCACTCTGGCTTCTAGAGGATGTCTGTATGAGAGCCTAGTTCTCTGGACCAAAGAAGAGATGGAATTAATTGAATTCCCAATTGAATGAAGTAGTTGGGAATACAATTAGAATAAGTGCATATATTCAGTTTATAATAAAGATCTCATAAATATCATTATATAGTCATCCAGACTATTTAATCAGTTAATGGCTGTCTTTATTCACATATTTTAAAACAGATGAGCTCCGACAAGAAATGCTGGATGATGCACAAAAGAAATTGATGAACTTAGCAAACAGCTCAGAAGGAAAAGTGGACAAGTATGCTTTTTCCTTTTAATGTTTATGTGTTTTGTGGAAATTATGGTAAAAAAATATTTCTACATGTAAATGTTTACATGTGATTAAATTTTTCAAAAGGCTTTTCTTTTTCTTACTCTATAGTGAAGAAAGATACAGCTTTAATGAGGAGTCAACAGAGTCACTTACCTTCTTTTATTTTTTTAGTGTAGATTTTTTTCAACTCATTCTTTTTTTTTTTGACACGGCGTTTCGCTCTTGTTACCCAGGCTGGAGTGCAATGGCGCGATCTCGGCTCACCACAACCTCCGCCTCCTGAGTTCAAGCAATTCTCCTACCTCAGCCTCCCGAGTAGCTGGGATTACAGGCGCACGCCACCATACCCAGCTAATTTTTGTATTTTTAGTAGAGACGGGGTTTCACCATGTTGACCAGGATGGTCTCGATCTCTTGACCTTGTGATACACCCACCTTGGCCTCCCAAAGTGCTGGGATTATAGGCGTGAGCCACCGCACCTGGTAACTCATTCTTTTTCTTAAAACAATGTGGAAGAGCTTGGGCGGGCATAGTGTCTCACGCCTATAATCCCAACACTTTGGGAGGCTGAGGCAGGTGGATCACCAGAGGTTGGGAATTGGAGACCAGCCTGACCAACATGGAGAAAGCTTGTCTCTACTAAAAATACAAAATTAGCCAGGCATGGTGGCACATGCCTGTAAGTCCTAGCTACTCAGGATGCTGAGGCAGGAGAATTGCTGGAACTCAGGAGGCAGAGGTTGTGGTGAGCAGAGATCGCACCGTTGCACTCCAGCGTGGGCAACAAGAGTGAAACTCCATCTCAAAAAAAAAAAAAAAAAGGAAGAGTAAAAAATATCACCTCAGTAAAAAGTACTTAGAAAATAAAAAATTTAATTTTACTATTCTTTTTTGCTGCTTTTACTGTCCTTAAGTGAACATAATCTTGCTCAAATGTATTACCTCTGAAACCTAGTATACATGCAACAATAGCTCATTTAATATTTTTCAAATGTATATATTATTAGTAAATTTTTAATAAATTTGAATGGGGAAATAAAAGCATGACATTAAACCCAGTAGTTGTCACCGTATAAGCTGCTCAGGTGAACATGAGCCCAGTCAGGCACTTGGAATTACTAAGGTGGTACCGCCTCAGTCAGTTACTGGGTTGAAGCAAGTGGGAGGCTAGTAAGTGATGTGTGAAAAGGTATACATTTCGGGATGTTTGAAATCGTTTTTTATTTTGTTTTGTTTGAAATATTAATTAGACGTCAAGATTTTTTAAGACACTTTAAAGTATTTTGTTTAGACTTTTTAAATAAGGAAATATGTAATTGTTTAATTAAATATTTCTATGTTTAGTGTTTGGGTGCACTTAATGTTGAGTTTGCTTGAGCTGTTTCTGCCTTTCGTTTCATAGAGTCCTAATGAGAAACCTCTTCATCGGTCATTTCCACACACCAAAAAATCAGCGTCATGAAGTGTTACGGTTGATGGGGAGCATCCTGGGTGTCAGGAGGGAGGAGATGGAGCAGGTGACTGGACAATGAAAGCCATCTGAACACATTCATAGCCCAGATAGTGGCTTTGTAGACAAGTACTTCCGTTTACTATATGTAGCTTTTACTGAGTGTAATTTTCTCAGTGTGGACTTGGAATTACTTCTTGTAACATTGAGGAGGTAGATTTGTTCAATATGTATGATTTTAGTTTAAATGTTGTTTTTTTGTTTTTGTTTTTATTTTTTTTGAGACGGAGTTGCCCAGGCTGGAGTGTAATGGCATGATCTTGGCTCACGGCATCCTCCACCTCCTGGGTTCAAGTGATTCTCCTGCCTCAGCCTCCCAGTAGCTGGGATTACAGGAATGCGCCACCACACCTGGCTAATTTTTTGTATTTTTTGTAGAGACGGAGTTTTTCCACCTTGGCCAGGCTGGTCTCGAACTCCTGACCTCATGATCTGCCTGTCTTATCCTCCCAAAGTGCTGGGATTACAGGCGTGAGCCACTGCGCCCAGCCTAAATGTGTTATAACTTAAAAAGCACTTCTCATGTTAGGATGCTGAAATGTTGAAATATCCCCAAACTTTCATTTGAGATTGTGCTTGGGGTGGCATTTTGTTGTATCTGTAGCCTCTAACAGTAGGAAACATTTACTAGGATTTGAACTTGAAAAGCATGTTACAACTATCAAAAATCATGTGAAATTGGTCCCCCCCCTTTTTTTTTCTTGTACTGATAACATGTTTCTGTTTTTAAATGATCTTTCAGTTATTTCATGACGATCAGGGTGGTGTTACCAGGTGGATGACTGGGTGGTTCGGAGGAGGATCAAAAAGTGTTCCCACCACACCTTTGAGACCAAATCAGCAATCTGTGTTTAATAGTGTAAGAACCAATTTTATTCTTGCTTAAAGTGAATAGTGAAATGACTGTATATTGCATTCATTTGCAAAGAATCAGATTTCTTTTAAAAATTATTTTACACAACCCTTTTATTTTGAAGTTGCAGAAACTGAGTTCCAGAGAGGTGATTAAGCTTAAGGATAACAAGCTAGTTTTCATAGTTTTATTGCATATAGGCTTTATTTTAACTCTATATGGTGCTTTTATTTTTCAGAATATTAATTTTTCCTTTGTACTTGATCATGCTGCCATAGGCAGTCTTGCTACTAAATTATCGTAGCAAGATAGAGGATTTATTTTATTCATGTATGTATATTCCAAATTGTTGAGCCAGTAAATACTGAGTACCTGCTGTGAGCTAGACTCTTCCAAGCACTGAGGATGCAGCTGCAAACTGGATAGACAAGGTGCCTGCCCTCATAATACTTAGATTCTCAAAGGAGGAGGCCATTAATGAACCTGAAAACACAGTGCCTGCTATGTTGTAGGCTCTAGATGAATATTAATTGAATTGAGTAGTATTATGAGTTAGAATGTGGAGTTTCTTCTCATAGTTTTTTAATGAAGAGGATGCTGAGGATAGATGACTTACCCAGAGCTGGTTAAAGAGGAAACCCTGTTTTACTTGGCTGGCATAAAATTTAATTTAAAGGAAAGGTCTACACTACATTATTTTAATCTGATAACGTTATTGGTGATCTTTTGCTATATTCATTGGTTGGACCTGACTTTAGAAAATCATGTCTAATGTGTGTTTTCCTTTCGTATAATTTTTTTTTTTTTTTGAGACAGAGTTTAGCTATTGCTGCCCAGGCTGGAGTGCAATGGTGCAACCTCTGCTCATTGCAACCTCCGCCTCCTGAGTTAAAGAGATTCGCTTGCCTCAGCCTCCAAGTAGCTGGGACTACAGCCATGTGCCACCACACTCGGCTAATTTTTTTGTATTTTTAGTAGAGACAGGATTTCTCCATGTTGGTCAGGCTGGTCTCAAACTCCCAACCTCAGGTGTTCCTCCCGCCTCAGCCTCCCAAAGTGCTGGAATTACAGGCATCAGCCACCATGCCTAGCCCCTCATATAATTTTTTATGTTTATGTTAGTAGTTATTAAAATGATCAGATTCATTAAATGCTGTTCATTGATGGCAAGAAAAATAAGTATCATCAGTTGGCTAATTAATTCTGACCATGAGATGTTAAAAGTGAGTGGTATCATTAATGACTTGATTAAATTGTTAGATTTTTGTAATAACGATCATCTATCTAAAGTGCTGATGTTTTCAATTGTTTGTAAAACTGATTTGTAAAAAAAAAATGATTCAAATGGCATTAGTTTTTAATATTTAATTAGAAAAGCTGGTACATTTTCTTAGTTGTAGTGAATATAACTTAATTATCTAGCCTAATAAAAAAGGAAAATATTTTTTCTTAGTCTTTTTCAGAACTTTTTGTTAAATTTCTGGAAACAGAATCTTATCCATCCATTCCACCACCAAAGCTTTCTGTTCATGATATGAAACCTCTGGATTCACCAGGAAAGAGAAAACTAGATGCAAATACACCAGAAAGTTTTAAAGGTAAAACTAGAAATTAATTTTTTTTCTGTATTTTAAAAATTGAATGTTTAATGTATGATTATGTTTCACAGTGATACTAAATTTTTAGCGTTTTTGAAAATGTGCAATGAAGATTTTCAGAATTCCAATCAGGCATCAGGCTTTTGCGTCATATATTCTTGTAGCAATTGGATATTTAATTGGTTTAGATTAATTTAAATGGTAAGAAAAATTCTTCTCTGTCTGCCTAACCAGCTTTGAATTCTTCCTCTGGAAGTGGTGGAGAACTGGTTAAATCTTTGTTGGCCACCTGCTTTCCTTCCTCACTAATGGTGCTTCTTGCTAATCCGAGTTGGATATATAGTTTAAAGTTTGAAAAGGATTTTTCTCCTTTGAAAATTTAAGTGCTGCAGTCAGTAACCGAACATTGGTATGTTAATATATATAAGCGCAGTTTAATAAGCTGACTGGACTCTAAGACTGTAGAAAGCACTCTTTTATGTTGAAAGATCTGCCTAGAAGCGGATGGTTGGTGGTTGCTAACGTGTATACATATTTTTCTGTCCCACTAGATTGTAAGGGTTTTATTTATGTTCATATCATGTATACCAGCATGCAGGAACATTTACCACATTGAAATTGAATTATAAGCTGTTGGACTGTAAACAAATTCTTTATTGGAAGAGCTCTTTTCTGAAACTTTCATATTTTAATGTAGACTAACATGTTTACTAACTGGACTGTAATATGTTATTATATGTTATATACTCATATCACATCAGATGCCTTAATTTGGATAAAGAATTTATATTCTGAAACTTTTAAAACTTCTGTTTAGACAAATATTTCTGTTTTTCTGGACTTATATAGGAAGGGAAAGTAGTAAAACTTATCGGTCATTTAGATAATAGTTTTGCCAGCTAAATGTAGTGAAAAGTCATGGTTTTATCTAAGAGGTGTAGACTATACTAAAAACATTTTTTCTTTTTACACTAGGTTGTAGCATCTTGAAACAGATTCCCAAATTCATTATGGCAGGCTCTTTCCCTCCCTCTCTTCCCTTCTTTCCTTTCCCTTCTTTTCCCACCCTTCCTTTCTCTTTTCTTCCCTTCTCCTTCTCTCTTCTCTCTTCCTCTTCCTCCCTTCCACTTCTTTTCTCTTTTTTTTTCTTCCTGCTTTCTACCTTTCCCCTTCCTTTTATCAAGTTCAGTGCCCAGCTTAATTTGTATTGATGGGAGATGAAAGCTGGTGATGGTCTGGGTTGATACAGGCTTTGCATGAATTAAGCAAGCTTAGTCTTTAATCCTGAATTTGGAAATGTGTAACACTAGGTAACACCAGGAGCTTGCCCAGAGTTTGGAAAATTGTCATTGACAGGAAAGTACAGCTTGAGACCTCTAAGAGTGCCCAGTGATAAGCAGATTTGATGAATTTGTCTCAGTGCTTTCTTTGCTTCCGGAGGTCTCTTTTATTTGAGTTTCTCACTGCTGAAGTGGGCACCTTCAAAGGATTGCTTGTCCCTTACCAATGAAGTTGTCAGTGGTCTTGGGCACTAAAGCAGAATCTGTTCACTAAGACATTAGGAATTTAACTATTCCAACATAAAGGAATTGTATTAGCCCAGCTTCATAGAAGAATAATCAAGATTGTTTTCAAACCTTTGACTGCTTAAAAGATGATCAGGTAAGGTATGTGTATGTTTTTTCTTTTGGTAAATTAATATTAATTCACCTGTTATGATTGTAATATGGGTTTTTCTTAACGATTACAATTATTTGGGGAAAACATAACTCCTCAAGTCCTTCATTACTCAGGTGGATAAGTGAAGAGTTTGCCTTGCAACATAGATGACACCATTTAAAAAGCTGTTATTATGGCAAATGAAGTTCTTCAGTTATAATATCTGGTATTGAAGTATAATGCAAGAGTTTTAGTGTGTTTAATAAAGTATTAGATAAGCATACAAATACTCTTCTCTCTCCTTTTCTTTCCCTGTTAATTCCTCTTATTCCTTACCTCTTTCACCTCCAGTGTTTCATAGACCCTGCTTATGGGATCTAGAACCCAGCAGCATATGAATTATATTTGCTTAGGGGCCAAATCTGGGAACTTAAAACACATGTATAGCATTGTTTTTATCAGAAAATGTTTTGAATTACCAAGCGTGAACATTAGTCGGATTTTAGCCATACAAATTGGTATTTGTGTTTAGGAATTGAGGCCTATTTGTGCTTTCATTTTGAATAAAAATGGTCCAAAAAGATGTGCTAAATACCAATGTTATTACTATCAAGGTAGAATTTTTAAGTTGATAGTAGTGGGAAGTTGATTGTTTTTATATATCTGTGTTAATCAGTTATTTAACAATATTACACAGATAACTTCCTTTTCTTTTTTTTTTTGAGACAGAGTCTTACTCTGTTGCCCAGGCTGGAGTGCAACGGTGTGATCTCCACTTACCATAGCATCTGCCTCCTGGGTTCAAGCGATTCTCCTGCCTCAGCCTCCTGACTACCTGCAATTACATGTGTGTGCCACCACACCCAGTTAATTTTGAATTTTTAGTAGAGACGGGGTTTCACTGTGTTGGCCAGGCTGGTCTTGAACTCCTAACCTCGTGATCTGCCTGCCTTGGCCTCACAAAGTGCTGGGATTACAGGTGTGAACCACTGCACCCAGCCACACAGATAACTTTTTTTTTTTTGCTATTACTTATATTCAGAGAGTTATTTCATTTTGATTCTTTGTGAACAATAGGTGACTAAATCCACATTTTATTCTTTAGATACAGCAGAATCCAGATCTGGTAGAAGAACAGATGTAAATCCGTTTTTGGCTCCTCGCTCAGCAGCTGTGCCTCTTATTAACCCAGCTGGACACGGACCTGGTGGACCCGGGCATCTTCTTCTGAAACCCATCTCAGATGTCTTGCCCACATTTACACCTTTGCCAGTGTTACCTGACAACAGCGCTGGGGTTGTGCTGAAAGACCTTTTAAAGCAATAGATAATTCTCAAGCCAGAGACAATCTAGCACTTTAAAGGAACCATGAACACTATATGTATGTACTTTATCACAAAGTGGCCTTTGGGAAAAAGTCATGTATTTGTTTGTAGTTGTGCTTTCTCTGAATTTAATAAAAATATTCCTAATGCGTTTAGAAACTGCAGGTGTCAGGAGCAAATGTTTGCTACGTAATCTGCTTTATTCCTTCTGATTTGACCTTATTTAAGCTAGGAACATTTGATTTATCTTTTATCTTAATCTACAAAAATACAGACAGACAAACATGCTAGTAGCTGTATGTTGGCTTTTTATTTCCTTCTGTGATTTCCAAGCTATTTAAGCTAGAGATTGTGGTTTATCAAGAGTGTTTCCTTTTTTTAATGAAGAATAAAAAAAATACTAGTAGTGGCTTCACTGCTTAGTGCAGAAAGTTGATCTGACGCATATATTGATCATCTTTAGAGGACTTTGTGGAGACAGGCCAACAAGATTGTCCCTGGAAGGTCATAGGTGCCCTGAGATGCTTTTTTTGTTTGTTTTAAATAGAGATGGGGTCTCACTATGCTGCCAGGCTGGTCTCGAACTCCTGAGCTCAAGTGATCCTCCCACCTCAGCCTCCCAAAGTGCTGGGATTACAGGCATGAGCCACTCTACCTGGCCCTCTGTGTAGATTCATGTGACTACCACCAGTCAAGATACAGCACCTCCATCACAAGTATCCCCTGTGTCACCCTCTCATAATCACAGCCACCTCTCTCCCTGGCCCTCTCCTTAATTCCTGTCAACCACTAACTGTTCTCCATCTCAGCAACTTTGTTATTTCGAAAATGTTCTATAAATGGAATCAATATGTAACCTCTTGAGACTGACTTTTTTTCACTCAGCATAAGAGATCCATTCAAGTTTTTGGATGTATTTTATTCCTTTTTATTGTTGAGTATACAGTGCAGATGTATCACTTAGTTTTAACAACTAAGATATCTATTTAAAGATATCATCTTTAAATAACTAAATGTTTCTTTTTTTTTTTTTTGAGACGGAGTTCCCTCGTTACCCAGGCTGGAGTGCAATGGCGTGATCTCAGCTCACCGCAACCTGCAACCTCCGCCTCCTGGGTTCAGGCAACTCTCCTGCCTCAGCCTCCTGAGTAGCTGGGGTTACAGGCACGCGCCACCATGCCCAGCTAATTTTTTGTGTTTTTAGTAGAGAGGGGGTTTCACCATGTTGACCAGGATGGTCTCGGTCTCTTGACCTCGTGATCCACCTGCCTCAGCCTCCCGAAGTGCTGGGATTACAAGCTTGAGCCACTGTGCCCAGCCATCTAAATGTTTCTTTACACAAATTCATACAACTTTCATATAAGCATTAAACTATACAGCTGCATCTACATAATTAGCAATATCACTGAACATGTGTGTCACTGCCTGCCTCTGTCTGCGGTGTTGACATATGAGGTACAGCAGTCCGAGAGTCAGCTGTTCTCATCATGGTGTTCACAGAGGCAGTGAAATCACTTTGATAGCACCAGTACCCAGATGTTCAAAACTTAAGAGAGTATTTCTTTAATTTTTTTATAAACCCATCATAAAAAAAAATCCCAACTTGAAACTTAACTATATCTGGATGTTCATGTTTTTATTAGTTGTTGAAATTGTACATTTAAAAAGACATTTCTTGCAAATTTTATAAATTTCTATATGCTTCTAAAATAGAAACATTTGTATAACAAGGAAAGATAAAATAAAACAAATTCAAATATGTAAATAGGCCTGGCTGAAGCCAGAACTAAATTGGGTTGTTTGCAAATTTTGCTGTGATTAACTGTATTTCTAATGTATTTGGAAGACTGGAAGTCTTAATTATATGTTGATAGGTGAAACTTGTTTTTCTGAAAAATGAAGTAACAGAGAATGCTGCTTCAGAATGTCTCCCATCTCCTCAGATAACTGGTTTATATGGCCATTCTTTATTCAGTATACTGTAAAGGCAGTTGTCATACAAGTTCAACATTAGAACTGTCCAACTGCCTCCTCTTGGTTTTTGCCCATTATTATTTCTCTATGAGTTGTTACTCCTTGGTTTTCATATGCTCCTGACAAAGACACTTTCACTGACTGTCCTACAGTATTTGCTGCTTGCCTTTGAAGTTTCAGTTCAGTGTGGAGCAAATGAAATACTAGTTTCGAAGTTAAAAAAGACACGTGGTAGTTTATTTTTAAGAAATAGAATATGTAAAAAGTTTTCTCTTTTAATTTGAAAAAGAGATGCATGGTTGGTATTTAAGTAGTATGTCATCATATTTGAAATGCCTTTTCTGACATTATTGAGTATTTCCTTCTCTGACCAAAACAGCCTGTCCCCCTCTTATCCCATAGTTTAAGTTTAAAAGCTGTTATGGGTGGATTGCATAGTTAAACATCACAGAGCATGATATTAAATGGCTGCTATTTAAATAAGTATGTGACGTTGTCCTAAAGCTATAGTACCAGCTGGGCACGGTGGCTCATGCCTGTAATCCCAGAAGTTTAGGAGGCTGAGGCGGGTGGATCACCTGAGGTCAGGAGTTTGAGACCAGCCTGGCCAGCATGGTGAAACCCCATCTCTACTAAAAATACAAAAATTAGCCAGGTGTGGGTGGCAGTTGCCTTTAATCCCAGCTACTCGGAAGGCTGAGGCAGGAGAATTTCTTGACCCCAGGAGGCGGAGGTTGCAGTGAGCCAAGATTGCACCACTACATTCCAGCCTGAGCGACACAGTGAGACCCCATCTTTAAAAAGAAAAAAGCTATAGTACCTAATGTTTTCATTGTGTCATTGAAACTATAGCTGACTGGTATGCATACTAAGTGTTCGTTGATCTAAACCAGATATAAGTCATTGACTTTTCTGAGACTTAGTTGTGTCAGAGATGAACCACCTGCTCACCAAATCGTCATAGTAACCAGACAGTGATGAAGCATATAATTCTAATGTTGGCAATAGGACATTGCTAACCGTGCGTTTAACTGCAGTATTTTAACTACAGTAATTTTTCTGTTTATTTCTCTATCCCCTCAGTAGAATTTGTGGTTGAATTCCGCCTTCGCTGCCATAGTTTTTCACCACATTCCAAATGGTTTTCAACTCTATACTGTAGTAGAAAATTCATCCAACGATTGAATTTAATTTTAGCATAATACTGGATTAAATTGTTTGAATTTTCATTCCTGTCATTCTTGATTTTTAAGAAATGAAACAGAGCTAAACAACAAAAACCTAGGAATAAAGGAATGGCTTCTTTCCCACTATCCAATTAAACGTCCTGTATCCCCCCCAATAAAGCCTTTGGTTTCTTTTAACCTCTTAACAGTTAATTGAACATAGTACAGAGACTATCAAAATACTTATCCAATTAGTAGGTGGGGGGAAAACTTTGTCTTCAGGGACAGGAGAGTGATGGGAACTTTTTAGAAAACACTATCACGCATCAAACTTAAAAGCATTTGAACTTGATTTTTAAAGATAATGAAGTTTTCCACATATCAAAGTATTTAAAACATCTTCCATCAACAAAAACTTATCTTTAGATTTTGTAAATATCTAATAAGTATAGATATTTATTTTATATATTCCTATGGAAAAATGCTGCTTTCATGTTCTGACATTTGTGATTATTTGCCAGTCTTTACTTTTTAACTTATTAAAAAGTTAAATACTTATTAAGGTATCTCTATGTAAAACTGATAAATCGTCTTTTGATTTTTAGGGAAATATCTAAATGTGGGAAATTTTCAACCCAACCTTAATATTAGGTTGTGTTATTTATAGAGCTATAATGCATTTTTGAATTTCTCAGGAGCTCTGCAAGGCAAAAAAGAAATACTCCAAATAAAAATGATATATGTAAGTTGGCAATGTCTTCATTCACAATAAAAATTTTTTTTAGCAAACAGCTGCTGACTTTTTCTTTAGAAGGGGAGAAATGACTTACACATGTTGTTTGTAACGGTAGTTGATGAACTACTGAAGCTAATGTCTTTATTCACCGGATGTCTGCTATTAGGATACTATTTCAGCCTCGGAAATTTTTAAGTATGAACAATTTAAAAGATGCTTGAGATTACGTATGAGAGAAGGATCCTTTTTTTCATACGAATCAAGCAAAACCACATCTCTACAAATATACAAAAATTAGCCAGGCATGGGGGCACGTCCCTGTACTCTCAGCTACTCAGGAGGCTGAGGTAGGAGAATCGTTTGAACCTGGGTGGGAGAGGTTGCAATGAGCCAAGATTGTGCTGCTGCACTCAGCCTGGGTGACAAAGTGAGACTCTGTCTCAAAGAAGAGAAAAAAAGGATCTGAGAGGTTTTAACCAGCCTTTGCTTTCTTTTTCCTTCAGAGGGTATTGTACATCATTGGCCTCTGGTCCTTTTGGAAGATAATCAGTATGTGTCTTCATTTTTTCTTAGATGTGGAACTTGAGTACTTCTAGTGGTTCATATGATGGCAGGATGGAAAGGGTCATGGCTTTTAACGTTGACAGCAGGATCGGAGTACTGATTTTCACCCTTTCTGTGTGACCTGTCACAAAATTACCTTGACTACGGGTCTTATTTTTCTCATCTCTGAAATGAGCTGGCACCTACCTAGTAAACCTCATGGGGATGTTAGGATCAAATGACATTCATTTATAATGTTCAGTAAACGAATAAATGTGCCACTTGTGGAAGTGCTTTCTAAAGTCCAAAATTCTAGACAGATGTTAAAAGTTCATCACTGCCAAAGGGTAGATAAGAATGTCAGGGAGTTACTGAAGCCAAGAGTTCCTTCCGACAGGTAAGGTGAGGTCAATGCATGAAGTGCCGGCTGCTGCGAGGGCTGGTGAGAGGAGTTTTAAGAAGACTGTGCTGGACTTGGGGAGCAAAAGGTGGTTGTTGGCTTTGACCAGGGCTGTGTTGGTGAGGGGTGGGGAGCAAGTGGAGACTGTTTGTAGGCAACTCTGCTGAGAAACCAGACTGCAGATTGCAGAGGGGGAAGAGGGCATGAGTAGGAGAGGAAAGGGGGGGTAGAAGGAGACTTGTTTGAAGCTGAGAGCCTTGAGCTTATGGTAAATGCGTATGGTAAGGACAGGATTAGATGGAGAGGCTGAAGAGTAGAGAGTAGAGTTCCTGAGAAAGGGAAATGAGATCGGAGCACAGTTTTGGAGGGATTGGCCTTAGGTAGGAAGGACTCCTTTCTTGGGGCTGGTACTATGGAAGAGAGGGGAGATGTAGATGGCGGGTGAATTTGGGTGGGGGAAGTTGTGGGAATTTTTCTCTGCAGTTGGAGGGGAGCTTATCTGCTAAAAACAAGGGGAGTAGGGCGTGGGGCTTGAGAAATTCACAGGTGGGAGAGACACACACATGTCCAGATTACTAAAGAAGTACGAGAAACACTCAGGGGCTCATGCCAGGCGCTAGGAGCCCTGAGCTGGGCCTCGAAGAGCGATGGGAGGAGGGGGAGTGGTTGTTTACCGTTATCTTGAAAGAAATAACATTTGAGCACTTAGGAAGGAAGCAAGCTAGGAAATTAAATGTCAGATAAAAGTCTAATGGTTCTTGCCCTAAGCAGTTGTACTGGAATACAAAATGTCACTAACCACAACCTTGCTTTCCTGTCCTTAGGACTTATGTCGTGTGAATAATGATATAGCTGAGGGTTTTATAGCATGTTATTGTCATAATTTAGTACCTCTAATAAATTAATAGTCCACTATAATTCCAACAATATTTGTCTTGAAGATAAAGAAAAATTTTTTAATGTTACTGAGAGAAAAATGTAAAAATGTTTAAAACATGGATCACTTAAGTCAAATATTTGAACCTTTAGTTAGTTTTTGTCTTAGGTCTTAAAATGGGGTCTTCCTGTATGTCAGTCTTTTAGCCTTTCTGAGGTTAAGAGAGTAATAATTTGCACTATACTGATATTTTAACTGATAACTTTCAGCTGTGACTATTTTTACAAGCGTAATCTTTTCAGCTCTAACATTCTTTGACTTCATTGAGTTGTTTTTGACCTTACAAATTAAATCTCAGCGATTTGAAAATATTTGACTGTGAATATGAGAGTTCGGTGAAGTTGTGTTCTGAGTATCTATGAACTCTTAAAAATGTAAGATACATCATTTCTTTCTGTAAAATATAAGGCACTTAAATGTTGAAGGATATTATCTTGTAAGTTTTTCCTCTCAAAATGATGAGTCAGTCTCAAGCCCTCCGTAACCCACATGTAAATGAGAATGTACTGTACTCAAAATGCATGTATTCACCAAAGGACAAGGTTCCCACCCCGAGATGGTGAAGGGAGACATGGTTTTTTAAAGAATTAGAAAATACATATTTGCTTCAGGTTTCCTCTTCATCTGTTTAGATGTATTTAAAGAACCGTGGTGTCATCTGTGAGTCAACACATGAATCAATCCCTTTACTAAAGGGTCAGTTTACTAAAGGTATCTTCAGACACTCTGAATAAAAAGATAGTGGTGGTGATAAATTTATAAGATCTAATGAGATGAGCTTCATTTTTGAAAATTTAGATGGGCTGCTTAGGTTTTGAGATTATTTGGAATCATTTAAAAGTTTCTCCCTAAAGCATTTCCATGCCACGTGCACACTTACTCCGAGGGTAGTCTCAGCCTGTACTGCTCTCGTCAGGAGTAGGCTTGGCAACTTGGTAGCTCCTGTGTTGAAAAATATGACAGTAAAAATCAATTCTTCATAAAATGGCTACTTGAGGAATTAAGACTTCCCTTTTTCTGAGTCTTTTTTTTTTTTTTTTTTTTTGTGAGACAAGAGTCTCGTTCATCGCCAGGCTGAAGTGTAGTCGCTCAATCTCTGCTTACTGCAACCTCCGCCTCCCAGGTTTAAGCAATACTCCTGCCTCAGCCTTCTGAATAAATGGAACTACAGGCACGCGTCACCACACCCAGCTAATTTTTATATTTTTAGTAGAGACAGGATTTCACCATGTTGGCCAGGATGGTCTTGATCTCTTGACCTTGTGATCTGCCCACCTTGGCCTCCCAAAGTGCTGGGATTACAGGCGTGAGTCACCGCGCCCGGCCTTTCTGAGTCTTTTCACTTTTATTTTTCCTCCTTTAGACATCAGTGTTACTTGCTGAAAATAAATTTTACCCCGATGTCTTTTTTTTTGAGACAGAGTCTCACTCTGATTCCCGGGCTGGAGTACAGTGGTGCAACCTTGGTTCACGGCAGCCTCTGCTTCCCAGGCTCAAGTGATTCTCCTGCCTCAGCCTCTTGAGTAGCTGGGATTACAGGTGAACACAACCAGGCCTGGCTAATTTTTGTATTTTTGGTAGAGACAGGGTTTCACCATGTTGGCCAGTCTCATCTCCAACTCCTGACCTCAAGTGATCCGCCCACCTCAGCCTCCCAAAGTTCTGGGATTACAGGCATGAGCCATGTGCCTGGCCCTGATGTCATTCTTTAATTTGTGTGTACACGTGTGTATGTGTCAATGGTTTAAAATATTTAAGAGGAGATAATTGGATATTAGGAGGAACATCTGGCTATGGCAGTGTGAAGAGGTCAGCCACTTCTTGCAAAAAACAAGTATAAAACTAAAATTGTCAAAACCAACCATTTGGGGGCTTTGGAAATTGACCAAAGGCAGACAAGAAATCGAGTTATGTTTGAAACGCTTCTAGAGCTTCAGGAGGGAACCTGAAGTCTGTGGCCTTCCTACCTGGGGCTTCTCTCACCCCTCAAACCTCCTGGCTTTTCTAGCCCTGAGCTGATATGAAAAGCAGCAGCTTGGTTGCCTGAGGTCATGAACAGTGGTGGAGGGTGGGTGGTGCAGAACCCATGATGTCAATTAAAAGTGGTGAACTTGAAAGGAAACAAATGGAGAAAACTCCATTTTGCTAGCCTGAGATTGCAATTCCAGATAGGGCAAATGGTGGTCAGCAGAAATTTAACGCGGACATCCTGAAACAGAGAGAGGCATAGAAGGGCAGTGGTTGAGACTTGAGAGCACCCGCGGGAAGGAAAAGCCTAGGCCAGCATGAGACTGGCCTTTGAGTGAGCTGCTTGACCTAGCCCAGATCCAGCTGCGGGGCATAGAGGCCTCAAAGGCTTGAGGTGTTTAACCAGCACAGCCTCCTCTGTCATTTAGCTATGCAGGAGCAAGCCCTGGGAAGCCAGACTAAAAGACAAGACCATAAAACTAAGCAGAGACATGAGCAGCCACAGTCTTATGTGGGAGACAGATTCTGCAGTTACAGTCAACCAAGCTTTAAAAAAATCAAACTATGTCAGAATCAATACTTGCTAAATCGTCTAGTTTTCAACTAGAAATTATGAATAAGACAAAGAAGAAAGTGAGGCCCGTACTCAGGAAAAAAGCAGTCCGAAGAAACCGTGTGGGCCTACAAGTTGGATTTAACCCACAAAAACTTCAAAGCACCAATTCTAAGTATGAAGTATGAAAGGAAAGTTTGTCTAACGAACACGGAGTGAGATATTAACACTTGCAGACTCACTCCCTAGCTTTATCAAATCTTAACAGTGCGCCATATTTTCTAAAGAATTTAAAAAATACTTTTCCTGAAAACTTTGAATATAGACATGAAAGTAGGGTGAGTAACGTAGTGATTCCATGTACTCATCACCAGCTTCAGCAACTGTCCATTCAAGCTTATCGACTCCTACTTCATCTGGAGCCCGCATCTACTTCCTTTTTAAAAATTTAGAAAGGGTTTTTACATCACATCTTAAAACTACCATAAATAAGGAGCAAATAAATAAGGAGTAATGAACCGTGTTCTTCTTTTTAGCGCAATGTAGATGATCAAATGGTGCCTGTCTCTCCTGTTCCCGGACTCTTCAGGAATGTTTTTGGGTTTCGTTTTGTTTTTCAGGGTGTACCAATTTTATTCAACTATTCCTTTCCAG